CAGTGGAGTATCTTAGATGGCCGCTCACAGGCTTTTAAGACCCCATTGGTTTGGTTTTTGCAAATTCCCTAAACTTCTGTTTATGTGGAAATGCCCTAATTTCACCATCATATTTGAGAGAGAGTTTTACTGGATATATAATTCTTGGCTGGCAGTTTTTTCCTTCAAGGCTTTATATATGTCATCCCATTGCCTTATTGCCTGCATGGTTTCTGCTGAGTAGTCCGGACCTTAGTCTTATTGACTCTCCTTTGTAGGTGACTTTTCATTTATCCCTAACCACTCTTAAAATTCTCTGTTTATCTTTGGTTTTTGCAAGTTTGATTCTAATATGTCTTGGAGACTTTCTTTTGGGATCTACCTGATGTGGGATTTGATGAGCTTCTTGGATAGATATCTTCTCATCTTTCACGATATCAGGCAAGTTTTCTGCCAACAAATCTTCAACAATCTCTCTGTATTTTCTGTCATCCCCCCCTTTCTGGTACTCCAATCACTCGTAGGTTATTCATCTTGATAGAGCCCCACATAATTCTTAGAGTTTCCTCATTTTTTAAAATTCTTTTATCTGATTTTTCCTCAAATAAATTGGTGTCAACTGCTTTATCTTCAGTGTCACTAATTCTGACTTCCATTGCCTCAGTTATGCTCCTGTGACTTTCTATTGAGTTGTCTAATTCTGTTAATCCTCTGGATTTCTAATTGCTGTGTTTTTATGGATTCTTGCAGCCTGTTAAATTTGTCATTATGCTCTTCTCTAATCATCTTAAGTTCCTCTATTGCTTTGTCTGTGTGTTCCTTGGCTTGTTCTGCATTTTGCATGATCTCCTTCCTGATCTCTCGAAGAGTTCTGTATATTAATCTTTTGTATTCTACCTTTGGTAATTCCAAAAAGTTCTCTTCCTCCAGAAAATTGCTTGATTCTTTGTTTTGGGCACTTGCTGAAGCCATCATGGTCTGCCTCTTTATATGATTGATTTGATGTTGACTGTTGTCTCCGAGCCATCAATAAATTATTATATTTATTTATTTTATGTTTGCTGATTGTGCCCTAGCTTCTTGTTTTGTTTTGTTTTGTTTTGATATGCCCAAATAAGCTGGTTGTGTGAGCTAGTTTGATTATTGGCACCTTTGAAGCTCTCATGTCCTGTCAGCAGGTGATTAGATCTGTTACTAGGTATGTGAGCCCAGGAGACCATTTACTTTTCTTGTATGGATTCAGCTCAAGTGTCCAGGTAGTCGATCACCAAGTGTGTGGTGCAGGCTCTCACCTGTAGTCTAGACGGGCAGGGGTGATTGGCATAGGCACAGGTATCTGCTGCAGTAGGGGGTCATGCGCTGAGCAAGGCAGGGGGCTGACGGCTGCCCCTGAGTGTCTCGGAGGAAAGTGTGTCCCGGTTCCCTAGCGTGCATAGGTGGGTGGGTTTTGCAGCTGGACTATGAGCAGCCAATGCTGTTGGCTGTAAGGACTGGGAGGCGCCACTTATTCTTGGACCCCGGTCACAGGTGGCTAGGTGGTGTGGGTGGAGCCACCATTCCTCAGGCCCCTGATGTGGGTAGGTGAGGACCCTGCTTAACGGGCAGAGCAGCATCAAATGTCACGAACCTGCCACTTCACATATTTCTGATACAGTCAAAGTTAGGCTTCAGGTATATATCCTGTTGTACTGTGGTAATGAGGGCCTACACTGTTGTAATGGGCCCACACAGGTCTATGTAGGGGTGAAAGGCATTCAAAGTTTGCGGACCCCTTATGCCTGTGCCTAGGCAAAGGAGCTGTGCCTGCCCTGAGTTCCCAGCTTAGGGAAGCTGGCAGATTATTTTTTCCTATTTGTTAATTTCTTCCCTCTCCAAGGCTGGAAGAATGGCTTAGGGCGCATGACGGGTCCTACTTCCAGCCCAGGGGACTTAGCAATCACTGAAGCTGGCCCAGTAGCACGGTGCAGAGTGGGGAAGGGGCAGTTGGTTGGGAGAGAGGTTTTTCTCAAAGGAGGTGTTTTCTGATCCATGCAGTAGGTGAGATTCATATACTTATCTTTTGCTGATTGAGCGCTGCTTTTCACTGGTTCTGGAGGCTCAAGTAGACTCTCTGCCGCTCGGTCTCTCCCACTGTGGAAAACACCTCCTGAGTGCCACTGCTTGCCTCACCGTGCATGCCAGCCCATCTGGCCTGAAGGGTACCTGCTTCCACCGGGTCAAATCTGGCAACCCCTCGCTGCTTCTGAACCATCTTTCCCTCCCTCTGCCACTCAGTCCAATTCCTCAACTTGGCCTTTGATGTTCAGGGCTCCTAGACTGTCATATATAATCGATTCACTTGCTTTTTCGAGTCTTTGTTGTAAGAGGGACCATAAGAAGCATCTGACTACTCCGCTATCTTGGCCCCACCTCTGGCCTAGGTCTTTTTGCTCAAGACCTAGACATGCCCTAATTTCCTTAATACCTACCACCCTGGGCTCTGTGGTGTGGAAGTGGCTGCTCTGGCCTGTTTTGGATTGCTTCTCTTGGTCTCAGTCAGGGGGACCTCCCCAGGTTCCTGTTGAGGACACGTAGCCTCTCATCTCCTCTGGCCCATTGTCAGACAAGGTGGCTTATGCCTTGGTCTTCTTGCCTCTGACCCTTGCTGGGAACCATAACTCTTGATTGTTTTGATGGACAGGACTGGTGGTCTAGAAAATTCCGAAAGGTTTACAGTCTCCCAAATAATCTTCCTTTGGTCTTGCTCTGCATGGGAGGATACTGTTGGCCAGTTTCCCCAACTCCTGTGGCATGCCAGGGCTCAGTACAGGAGTGGCCAACAGGCCACTCTCCAGCCCAGCCTCTTTGTTCTGTCTGTTTTGCACATTCAGCTGCTACATAAGATTTATTTGAAGAAAAGATTCCATGGCTTAAAACAAAGATGACAGAAAAGAAGAGCTTGAAAGTCAGTTCTTTGGGCACATACACATGAGCTGCCTGACAGGAGCTATGGGAGGTCCAGAGAGTATGTTCTTGGACACAGACAAGCTGGGGCCACACAAACGCAACTGATGGTGCCTAGGGGCCAGACAGCCTCATGCTTCAATCATGAGGGGGCTCTGTTTGAGATCACTCTTTTCATGAACATTTTTTGAGTAGGCTCAAGGTGCAGTTGTTTGTCCAAGGTCACAGAGCTAGTAAAGAACAAGGCTTCAGTTATTCCCACTGGACCCTGTGCTCTGGGAGGGCAGAGGTGGGTTCTGCTTTACTCACACTAACACCAGTCCCTCCCAGGCACCTGGCCTGCCTGCAGGTTCCTCCTCAGGAGACTCCAAGTGGCTGGCCTGCACTGCCCTTCTGACCCATCCAGCCAGATCTCTCTTCCCTAAAGTGCTGGTGCCTTGGATGGAACCCCTTCCCCAAGACCCCTCAGCCTGCCACTCAGGGGCCCTGGTAGAGGCTGACCTCAAGTGGAATATCCAGCTTGATTACCCCTAATGTCCAGTGTGGCCACCCCCACCTGGCCCTGAGGCTGAGGAAGTACTGAGAAACCAGGCTGAGTCTGTCCTGGCCATCGAATGGGTACTGAGAGCTGTTGTGTCTGTAGTTGTTTTTCACTGGAAAGGCAAGTCCTGGTGCCAAATTCAAAAGCTACAAAAGGGTATTCAGAGAAAAGCAAGGGCTTCAGCCTGAAGACAAGCCTGTTTGCTGTGACTCATTTCTTTTGCTGCAAGTGCGTAAATATCCAAAAAGAACTATTGATTAACTCAGTCTTGAATGGGGAAATGTTCCTGGTATAATGTAGAGTGAAATATATCAGGATACAGAGTTGTTTCAGTTCTCAGCTTCAATGCTTCCTTCCTGTAGTGACACTGGACAAGTTACTTATACTCTCTTAACCTAAGTTCCTTCATCTATAAAGCTAGGCTGATAGGAGCACCTGCCTCAGAGAGGAGTGATCAGGACTTGACAACTTAATCCTCATGAACTTCATAGCATGCTGCCTTGGTACTCAGTAAGTGTTAGCTGCTAAAAAAAAAAAAAAAAAAAAGTTACATTTTATATACATTTAAAAAAAGACGAGAAGGAAATACACTAAAAAACAGTGAGTGACTCTGAGTGGGAATATGGTGACTTATTCCTTTATACTTTCTACAGTGAATTTGTCTCACTTTTATAATCAGAAAAAGAACAACATACTTAGTTTTTTAGAAGGAAATACTCAGAATCCATTCCCCAGAGTTTTGAGTTAGCTGGTTCCTGGTGAGGGACACTTTCATATATATATGTGTATATATATTTTTTAAGAGTTCAGCTTTTTTCAAGTAGATACATGAGACTAAATGGGCAGCTCGTGTCCGGAGGTGAGATAAGAAGGCGGAGAGGGTCAGGAGCTGGTTGAGTGGACATGGGAAATCGGGTGGAAGGGAGGAGTGTGCTGTCGCAGTATAGGGAGAGCAGTTAGGGTCACATAACAAGGTATGTACAAATTTTTGTATGACAGACTGACTTGAATTGTAAACTTTCATTTAAAGTACAACAGTAAAATAAGAGTTCAGCGTTTTTACTGAACATGTTACAAAAGGGGGTTAGTCAAAAAGACCAAAGCCCATGGCAGCATTATTGGATCGCTTACATTCTTCTTTCTTTGCTTCCACTTTCTTCTCCTCAGCTGAGGCAGCAGTGGCAAGGGCAGGTCCTCCCGCTGGTGCAGCGCCGGCTGCTGGTGCGGGTCCACCAGCCCCAACATTGCAGATGAGGCTCCCCTTGTTGACGTTAGCCAGGGTCTTTGCAAACAAGCCAGGGCAGAAAGGTTCAACATTTACAGCGGCTGCTTTAGTGAGGACATTGATCTTATGATGGTCACCTCATCATTGTGCAAGATGAGGGGCAAGTAGATGCAGGTGAGCTTGGAGCAGGACGTCGTGGTGCAGATAAGTGCTGGGCTGGCGGCTGCCAGGTGCGGTGCTAGTTGCTGGCTAAAGTGAGGGCCTCGCCCCAGCTTGGCCTTAGCTTCCTCGGAAGAACCAAGCACCTTAGCGGAAGCTGAGGAAAGAGGTCCGCTTTCCTGTATTTACCACTGTTAATTATGCCAGTGACCCTGGCAATAACACACCCTTCCCCTCCACCCCCATGACTTCTTTGTTTGCCCCACAGGAGCGCCCGAGGGATGGCTGCTGACACGCAGAGGAAGAGAAGCAGCGAGTGCTCTGATGGCATGTTGGCTCCTTCTGATGGGCAGAGTGTGGAGAGAGCTGAGAGCCCCACACCAGGAATGACCCAGGGAATGGAGCCAGGTATGGAAGGGTGTGCAGCCACAGCCAGCTGACAGCTGGAGCAGCCGCAGGGGAATGAGGATTCCTGGTCACTCTTTCCCTCCCACTCATTCATGCATTTGTTCACTCACTCATTGGATATTTGCCAGGTGCTGGGGATACCGCAGGGAGCGGAGCTCAGTCTGTGCCCTGACTTCCTTTGCACCTCATGTTGTGCCCTGCGCTGTCTGGCTGCCTGTGTGGGCTCTCCGCCTTCTGTTCCCTGTGTCTACAGTGCACCCCCTTGGCTCTCATCTTAAATGTCACCTCCTCATAAGTTAGGCCTTGCTCTACCACCCTCTCTACAGGACACTGGAGTTATTTTGTATTTTATTTGTTGGTGTATGTATTGCCCATCTCTCTCTTCCACGAGCTGGTGAGCTCTTTGAGCACAGGGCAACTGTACCCCAATGCCTGGCACATTGCCACGTTTGTAATACCAAAAACCCAAACCAAACCTATTGTTGTCAAGTTGATTCTGACTCATAGTGACCCTATAGGACAGAGTAGAACTGCCCCGTAGGGTTTCCAAGGAGTGGCCGGTGGATTTGAACTGCTGACCTTTTGGTTAGCAGCCAAGCTCTTAACCACTGTGCCACCAGGGCTCCAGGTTTATAACAGAGGCTCAAAATATATCTCTTGAACTATTCTGTCAAAAAAAAAAAAAAAAAAAAATCAGTGAAGGACAACTGACATAGTCCCTGCCCTGGGGGAGCTATTACAGTGGAATTGCTTAGGAGCTATGGCCTGAGTTGGGGTAGGGGAGCCTTACCCCAGAGAGAGTGATTCCTGAGCATAGTGCTGGGCATACAGCATTGAGCAACCAGGTTCCTGCCCTTGGGGGATCCCATTGTAGTTGGGGAGAATAGCTGATAAGTACCACAAGAGAAATCAAAGAAGGAAATATGATAGAGTACGTGCGGTTGGAAGTCAGATGAGGAGGTAACATATGAGCTGAGAGCAGAAGTGCAACAGGGAACCAGCCATGCTAGCAGGTGAGAGTGCCTTCCAAGCAGAGGGAACAGCAAGTACAGAGGCCCTGAGGTGGGGACATGTTGAGGGTGTTCAAAGAGCAGACGGATGAAGGCCAGTGTAACTGGGATGAGCCTTGGGTGGGCCATGAGATAGGAGTGGGAGAGACAGGCAGATACCAGCTGCCACCACTGCCGTGAGTGGTGGGTCTTATTCCCAGTGTGATGAGAGAAGACTGGTGGGCCATAAGTTGCATGACCCATGGCAGACAGTGGCAGGAGGACACAGTAGCTTGGCCTCAGCAGGACAGTTAACCTAGAGTGGCCATGTCAGGCACCTTGCTGGTGAGGGGGTCTGCCAGAGGCTCCCCCCTCTAAGCACCAGTGCTTTTGCCTGCAGGTGCTGGGCAGAAGGGTGCCATGTTTGTCCACGCCCGTTCTTATGAGGACCTGACTGAGTCTGAGGATGGGGATGCATCTGGGGAGAGCCCCAAGGAAGGTGCCGGAGGTCCCCCACGACTGCCTGCAGACATGCGCCAGATTAGCCAGGACTTCAGCGAGCTGAGCACCCAGCTAACGGGTGTGGCCCGTGACCTGCAGGAGGAGATGCTGCCTGGAAGCTCTGAGGACTGGCCAGAGCCCCCAGGGGCAACAGGGCGACCAGCCACAGAGCCCCCCAGGGAGGGCGCAGCTGAGGGGGATGAGGAGGATGCTACCGAGGCATGGCGCCTACATCAGAAGCATGTCTTTGTGCTGAGCGAGGCGGGGAAGCCTGTGTACTCCCGATATGGGTCAGAGGAGGCACTCTCCAGCACCATGGGTGTCATGGTGGCCCTGGTATCCTTTCTGGAAGCAGACAAGAATGCTATACGCTCCATCCACGCAGGTGAGCCACCTGGGGAGGAGACCAGTGAGGGCTCCCCTGGCCAGGGTTAACTCAACAGGCTTTGGAAACCCATGGGGTAGAGGACTGGGATGTGCTGTGTGACCAAGGGCAAGTCCCTCCACCTTTCTGAGCCTCCAGGTCCTCATCTGTACATGAGATAATATCACTGCCTGCCTCATGGAGCTGTTGTGAGGGCCAAAGGTGGCTCTGACATGGGCTTTGCCCTTGGAGAGGGTGAGAATCACCTGGGGAGGTGACAGAAGAATCCAGGTCCTGAGCCCCACCCAACCCTTGCCTGTTGACTTAGCAGTTGGGAGGGGGAAGTAGAGATCCAAGAATGTACGTTTTTCGGAAGTGCCTCCATGTTTCAGCAGGAGCCAGTCTGTGAAGCAGATGGCAGGAACAGGCCTGGAGCCCTCAGGGAAATGGGGAAATGGGCTACTGTTTTTATCCTCATCATCCTTAAGCCCCTTCTGTGTGCAGAGCTTTGTTGGCCAAGGGGTGGAAAGGATATAGGAGGCATTGGGCTCCGAGCAGGGCCAATCCGAGAGGGCTTTTCTGGAGAGGGTCTAAGGCTGACACCCATCCCCCCGCCCCCTCAGATGGCTACAAGGTGGTATTCGTGCGCCGGACCCCACTGGTGCTGGTGGCAGTGGCACGCACCCGGCAGTCAGCTCAGGAGCTGGCTCAGGAGCTGCTCTACATCTACTACCAGATCCTGAGCCTTCTTACAGGCACGCAGCTGAGCCACATCTTCCAGCAGAAGCAGAACTACGACCTGCGACGCCTGCTCTCGGGCTCCGAGCGTATCACCGACAACTTGCTACAGCTCATGGCACGCGACCCCAGCTTCCTGATGGGGGCGGCGCGCTGTCTGCCCCTGGCTGCAGCGGTGCGCGATGTCGTGAGCGCCAGCCTGCAGCAGGCGCGGGCGCGCAGCCTCGTCTTCTCCATTCTACTGGCGCGAAACCAGCTTGTGGCTCTTGTGCGCCGCAAGGACCAATTCCTGCACCCCATCGATCTGCACTTGCTCTTCAACCTCATCAGTTCCTCTTCGTCCTTCCGTGAGGGCGAGGCCTGGACGCCCGTGTGCCTGCCCAAATTTAACGCAGCAGGCTTCTTCCACGTACACATCTCTTACCTGGAGCCTGATACCGATCTCTGTCTGCTGTTGGTCTCCACCGACCGTGAGGACTTCTTTGCTGTCTCCGACTGCCGTCGCCGCTTTCAGGAGCGCCTGCGCAAGCGAGGAGCCCATCTGGCCCTGCGCGAGGCACTGCGCACGCCTTACTACAGCGTGGCCCAAGTGGGCATCCCGGACCTGCGCCACTTCCTCTATAAGTCAAAGAGCTCAGGACTGTTCACCAGGTGAGGGAGGGCCTTGGGGGGCACTGGTTGAGGCAGGGGTATGGGAGAGGGAAGAACTGGTTGGGCCTGAACCCCAGGAGGCATCCTTGAAACTGTCAGCTCCTCTGGAAATAGACCCGCTGGCTGGATCTATTTTGCTCTGGCCACAGGGACCCAGACTCCCTGTCACCGCTCTCCCCACGGCCATACACCTCTCTACTTCATTACCTAGAAGGCCTGAAAATGCTCGATATACCCAGGAAGGAAGCTAGAACAGAGGTCTCCTGGGTCCCTTGCCCTGGAGCAACTCTGCCTTCCGCCTCATTTTGTCCAGCCCAGGATGCAGAGCCTCTCCCCTACCCACTCCCTTGACAGAGGGGCTGGGGTCAGGTGTGGCAGTTTCTCCTCCCTTTACCCTCTTTTGGCCCAGAGGGATCCCAGATCTCCTTTCCCATTCCAGACCTATCAGTCTCAGTCTTTGACACCTAACTCAGATTATCTTCTCCAAGGGAGGGTCAGCAAGGATACCATGAACTCGGAGGGTGTGGGCATCTGGAGAGTAGGACACATTTCCTGGCTGGAAATAGCTATTTCTAGATCTCCAGAGAAGGCAATAGAAGTCATCCTTTTGCAAATCGCACCCCATCCACAGCCCTGAGATGGAGGCCCCGTACACAAGTGAAGAAGAGCAGGAGCGGCTGCTGGGCCTCTACCAGTACCTGCACAGCCGTGCCCACAATGCCTCCCGTCCACTCAAGACCATCTACTACACAGGCCCCAACGAGAACCTCCTGGCCTGGGTAAGGCAGCCCTGGGCTAGGCTGGGCTTCACTGGGGCTCTGGGGAGGGGCCGTGAGGGACCACCAGCCTGGATGACCACCCCGTGCCCCCTCCCCCAGGTGACAGGCGCCTTTGAGCTCTACATGTGCTACAGCCCACTGGGGACCAAGGCATCGGCTGTCAGTGCCATTCATAAGCTGATGCGCTGGATCCGGAAAGAGGAAGACCGCCTCTTCATTCTCACGCCCCTTACCTACTGATGGGAATGTGTGCAGGCTCAGCCTTCCTGGGCCCACTGGGGCATGGGAAGCTATGGGAGCCTCCAGGTGGGGCTAGCCTTTTCTTACCCAGCCAGCAGGCAGGGACTGTGGGTTGGTGAGTGCATTAAAATGCTTTGGGGAAGACATTTGTCAGGCCCTGTCGCTGTGTACTTCATCCAGCCACTCTCACTCACACACATAGACACTGGATTCTCCTCCCTAGCCTCTGCACATCTTCCCCATGCACAGGGGCACATGTACACTTGGGCCTTACTCCTCCCTCCCCTGCACTGGTGTCAGGCCACACATGCTCAGAATCAGGCCTTGGGCTGGGACTGTTTTAGATCCACTGAAGTCCTGCCATATATAAAGGGTTCTCAGATGCCCCACTGACCTTGCCCCCATAGCCCTGTCCCCATAGTCAGTGTGAGCCTTCAGTGCCTCTTCTGTCACTCCTGGGTCGGTTCCCAGCTTCATACTCCAAAGGACCCAACCACTCTGGGAGTCCTGGGTATATAGCTATTTGTTGGGCTGCTGTAGGTCAGCAGGAATTGAGCTTAGTGAGACAGGGACAGTCAGGGTGGGGAGAATCTGAGCCCCAGCATGGGTGGGAGCCCTTGGTGAGGCAGCCCAGTGCTCAGCAGATAAATCCAGAGTCCAGCCTCCCTGTAGCCCACAGGCCTCTGGGGAAACTGTCTCGCTTAGGCCTTCCCATGAAGGGCTGTCCTCCATAGCTCCCCTACCTTCACCCAGCACATTCCTTGAAATGGCCCCTAGAGTAAGCTGGAGGTCTAAAAGAAGTCGCAGCCAACCTCAGGGCAAGAGTGGACCCTGCCCTAAGAAGGGCCGAGTCCCCTAGGTACACCTAAGGGCCTTCCTCAGGCACTCTGTTCCCTCGCATGGTCAGGGCTGTATGGGGCACCATGGACATCCCAGGAGACTCAGCAGTGAAGGCCTGGCCCTGTTCACTCTACCATGAGCCTCTTTTTGGGTGGAGCCCAGGGCACAGTGTAGAAAACCTGCACCTTGCAGCTGGAGAGCTCTCCCAGCTCTGCTACAACTTAACCATCTTGTTGGCCAAGGGGAGTGAAAGACCTAGGATGTGTTTATGAGAGGAAACGGTCCACTGAATGTGGTCTTCATAGTGTCAGAAGGAATCACCCAAATGTGGTCTTCATAGTGTCAGAAGGAATCACCCTCATGCAGTCTCTGAGAGCCAAGTCAAGGTGTTCTGCCACTGAAACCAACCCAGGTTGGAGAATGTGCCTGTATGGGTGGCATGGGCTAAGAGTGCCCTGGAGTAGTTATACTTACTACCCTAGGAAATGGCAGCATAGCCCCTGCTCTTGGCCCTGCCCTGAATTACATAGGAATAGGCCTGGCACCAGACCACTCACGCAGACCCCAAGTCCCTGGGGAGTAGCTGCAGGCTTGGTGGGTGCTGCTTGCCCTGCTCACTTGCCCTGGGTCCCTTTTCTTGCTTCTGTTCCTCCCCTTGCTCCTGGCCAGGGCACCAAACCACTGCCTTTGGGGCCAGGATGATGCCAGGTTGGCTGTCCCTGACAGCTACTGGTGTTCTGGTGAGTAGTCAGCCACTAAGTGCCCCGTTGGCTGACCCCTGTTGGATCCTCAGTTTCTCTGTAGTTCAGCGCCTATTTTGAGTGGGGGCAGCAGGGGTGCTCACAGTTAGATGAGGACAACAGGGCACTTAAGAGTGTGGGGTTACCTGTTTAGGGGTCAGGGGAGGGATGATGGACAAACAGGAAAGCTGCTCCTGGTGTAGGAACTTGGTAAAGAACCTAATATGACTGCTTTACAATGAAGCTAGAAGAATCTGCAAGGCCTGGGGTTCTGGGATTCCAGTTTAGTCTGGCAGTGGGGAACCACTGAAGGTTTCAGAGCTGTGGAGTGATGTGGTCATATTCTGGCTAGAGAGGTTCCCCCTGGACTGCCACTCTTTGGGTTGGAGAAAGAAGCTGGACCTAGTCCTCAGGAATAGTGTCTGAAGGGGAGTGAGAACCTAAGGAGGGCAGAGTGGCTAGCCCTCCCTCAAGGTGGCAGTAGGGTAGGTGCTGACCTGGCTGGCTATAGGCCAGGCCTGTTGAGTTTCCCTTGGGGGAGCGTCTGTCCTCAGCCCTGCAGGGCCCCATTAGCTGCCCTTCACCACACAGCTTGCCTGCCTCCCTCCTGCAGAGCAGTCAGATGAGGAGGTGGGAAGGGGTGCTCCTGTGGGCCTCTGCTGTGGTGGAAGAGAGCCGTTGCTGCCAAGGGGGTGGCTGTCTGAGGTCAGCCATCAGCATGGCCACACGGGGGCAGTCGAGGACCAACTGATGGCTGCTGCACCCCTACCCCATAAATGGGGTGGGATGGGCGATCTAGGAGGGCTGGGGAAGCTTTCTCCCAACCCCCAGATGTTTCTCCGAACACCCCCCAGGTGGGGTAGATCATGGGGAACCCAGGTCCCAGAGCCAGCCAGAGAATGTTTCAGTTTTGCCCAGCTTGACTATCTTTAGACATGTTGACTGTGGGACGCAGAAGCCACGCCCTGGTTTTCACTGGATGTTTATTCATTTCCGGGCCAATTCTGGTTCAGGAAGGGAGTGCCTTTTATGTTGCTTCAGGGCGGTATCCTCCCTGCACTGGGTGTGGCCACCTTGTACTCTTTTCTTTCTCTATCACCAGGTGCTCACTGAGCTCCAGCCTGGTGAGTGGGAGAAGGGAGGGCAAAGTCAAGTATCCAGAGTGAACTATGTTGAGTGGGTACAGCATGGGGACTGTGGGACCCAGGAGAGGGGCCTGGTGCACCCTGGATCAGAAAGGCTTCGCACAGGAGTTGCCATCCAAGCTGCAATAGGAGGAAGGGAAAAGGTGCTCCTGGAAGAAGGGACAAAGTCTAAAGGAGCCCTAGTGGCACAATGGTTAAGCTCTTCACCACTGACGGAAAAGTTGGCAGTTCAAATTGAACCCATGCAGCTGCTCCACCTAGTGATCAGCTCCTGTAAAGATTACAGCCTAGAAAACCCTACAGGACAGTTCTGCTCTGTCACATGGGGTCACTATGAGTTGAAATTGACTCGATGGAACCTAACACCAACGTAACAGGTTGTGTTACACCAAGGACGAAGGTACCTGGAGATGAACAGGTGCTGGGTGGGGGAGTGGAGAAGATACAGCTCCCTAAGCCAGACTGAATCATGTGGGACAAAGGGCTCCTCTGTTCCCCGTATCCGACCCCACCCCACCCCTGGGCCGCATGTTCACAGGTCCTTAGACCTCAACCCAGGGCTACCCTGTGAAGCTTCCTTTCCCTCTAGGGTCTGTGCTGGGGTGGCTGAGGGGCTGTCAGGCTGAGGATGCCTCCCAGAGTCCCCCTCCAGTGTTGGGGGACCAGTTACCACGAGGTAGCTGCTAAGGTCCAGGTGAGAGAAACGGTGAGAGCAGAGACCTACTCCAACACACGCACACACGCGCGCGCACACACACGAGGGAGAGCTCTGGGCAGCCACCTAGCCAGAACTACATCCTCATTTCACAAACTGAGAGACTGAGGCTCAGCAAGGCTTACAGAGCAGGTTAGAGGTGCCCTGAGACCCAGTGCCTGTGCTCCCCCCATATCGGAGGGTGCTGGAGCAGGGCTGGGAAGGAGGGGGGCCCTCTCGGAAGCTGGCATGGTGAGTTTTGTTATCACCTGTCTTGCAGCTTCCACACACTGTGGCTGGAGCCCAGGGACCAGAGCCAGCGTTGGGCCTCCACATAGGCGGCCTTTCCCCCAACTCCAATATCCAACCAGCAGTCGGTGCCCCATTCTATACCCCTCTACCGCTCAGGGTGGACGGGGAGCAACAACGCACCACCCTCTGACACCAACCTGGCGCCCACAGCCCATGGCAGGCCCAACACCATCGGGTTTTCCCACTTCTCCCCTCTGGTCTGACTCGGCGCTGGTCTCTGCTTCCCACGTGGGTGGGCTTCTCAGGCCCCGCGGTCACCACCGTCTGTGTGAATTTGAGAGTGTTGCTATAAACTGGCTCTAGGGGAAGAAAAGAGCGAGGTTGTCCCCCACCTGTTACTGGCGCTGGGGCCAGCCCTGCAGCCCCCTCCCACCTCAGCCTAGTCGGTCGTGGGGCGAGCTATGGTACGGCTCAGCCTGCTCATCTCTCTCCAGGCCACCCAACGCACACACACCCATAGGCCACTGAGAAAAAGGTGCCTAAGAAAAAGTGCAAGACTCAGGCTTCCGAGGGCGGGGAGAGTCGAGTGGGCGGAGGAGCTGGGCTAGCCCAGACCTTCAACACCGCCCGCCCCCAGCCCCGCCCCACACTCTGGAACGGCCCGCCCAGCCCCACGCCCGGTAGTAGACTTTGCACTGAGCGCCGGCTTCGCGCAGCCACTGGAGCGACAGATAAGGCGGCTGCTCCATTCACTTCTTTCTGTCCTCCCGCCCAACCAAGGTGCTCAGATCCGAGAGCAGGAGCGGGGGTTGGGCTTCATAGGAGCCCCGGGCTGTAAGGATAGGCCCTGGAGACTGGACGCTGGCCCCAGCCCAAGTCTCCAGTCCGCTCCCAGCCCGGCCCGCGCCTACAAGGATCCTTGTGGGGCCGCAGCCCAGGCTTGATGGCGCTCCTCCTGCCGGCGTCGCCACAGCTCTCCCGATTGCTGCTGCTGCTGCTGCTGCCAACGATGACGATACCCGCAGCAAAGCAGTGCCAGGGCACCCAGCAGTGCTCGCGAATCCCATACGCTGCCTCCCGCGACTTTGACGTGGAGTACTCTGTTCCCAGCTTCTCTGCTGGTGGCCGGGTACAGGCCGTGGCGACCTACGAGGACCAGGACGGGAGTGCCATTTTCGTGGCCACGCGCAACCGCCTGCACGTGCTGGGGCCGGGCCTGCAGCCAGTCCAGAGCCTGGCGACGGGCCCCGTCGGAGATCCTGGCTGCCAGACGTGCTCAGCCTGTGGCCTGGGTCCCCATGGCCCACCGGGCGACACAGATACGCAGGTGCTGGTGCTGGAGCCGGCGCTTCCGGCGCTGGTCAGCTGCGGTTCAAGCCTATGGGGCCGCTGCTTCCTGCATGAGTTGGAGCTCAATGAGGAGACCGTGCGCCTGGCGCCGTCAGCCTGCCTCTTCTCGGCCCACCATAACCTGCCGGAGAACTGCCCTGACTGTGTGGCCAGCCCGCTGGGCACCCGGGTGACCGTGGTCGAGCTGGGCCAGGCTTCCTACTTCTACGTGGCGTCGTCTCTGGACGCAACGGTGGCCGCCCGCTTCAGCCCGCGCTCGGTGTCCATCAGGCGCCTTAAGGGGGACGCCTCGGGATTTGAACCAGGCTTTGAGGCGCTATCAGTGCTACCCACTCACCTCGCCTCCTACCATATAGAATACGTGCACAGCTTCCGCTCGGGAGCATTTGTGTACTTTCTGACTGTGCAGCCGGCCAGCGTGGAGGCCGGGCCGGGCGCCCTGCACACGCGCCTGGCTCGACTTAGCGCCACTGAAGTAGAGCTGGGTGACTACCGCGAGCTGGTTCTCGACTGCCGTTTTGAGCCTAAACGCCGTCGCCGCGGGGCCCCCGAGGGCAGGCAACCCTACCCGGTGCTGCGCGCAGCCCACGCAGCTCCCGTGGGCGCCCAACTGGCCACGGAGCTGAGCATCACTGAGGGCCAGGTCGTGCTATTCGGGGTCTTTGCAGCGAGCAGGGACCGTGGTCCCAGCGAAGGCCCCAATTCTGTCGTCTGTGCCTTCCCCATTGACCTGCTGGATACCCTCATCGAGGAGGGCGTGGAACGCTGCTGCCAGCCCCCTGTCCACCCGGGCCTCCGGAGAGGCCTCGACTTCTTCCAGCTGCCGAGCTTGTGCCCCAACCCGGTGAGCAGAAAGAACAGTGGGATCCTCTCTCTGAGCAGTGTGTACATGGCTGAACCCAGGCTGCTTCCCTTCCACCACTGAGAGAGTCTGGGAGGGGGAGGGCAGGCAAGGAGAAGCCTTCTCTTCCATTCAGTTCCTCAGTGCTGGGGGTGGTGTTGGAGGATCAGCCAAAGGCCACCCCCAGGCACTTGTTCCAGCTAGGCTGGCCCCTCTCTTTGCCCCATCTTGCTCTTTCACCCTCCCACCCATCGTAGCCTCTGATTTGGTTAGGTGGTTTCCCTTGTTATGTGAGGATTGGATTGCATCATAACTGTTTCTCTGTCAGACACAGAAAACTCTGGGTAAAATAGTGGGCATCCCCTCCTACTCCCCTGCTCCTATGCCTAGCACACACACCTTCAGGGATATACACACCCAGAAAAGCAGCCCCTTACACACTACACACACCATCAGGGACACACATACCCACAGGAAAACAGCCCCCTACACATGCACCAATAACGCACAGGCAGATGCTCAAAAACCGCACACAGACTCACACAGCTGCTCGAAGTTTAGCTTTCCCTATGACAGAGCTTGTTTTGCTCCACTCTCCAAAGGGGGTAGGGCAAGAGTTGTCAGAGAATGCACACCCTCCCCTCACACTGCCCCCCACCAGGGCCCCCACCAGGTTCCAGGAAGTCTCTTGGGCCTTGGAAAGCTGGGGTCTTGTTGGGGAATCCACATGACCTGAGCTTCACAGAACCACCCACCCCTGATTGTTCTCCTTGGGGTGATTGGGAGAAGGCCTGGATACCAGAAGGCAATTTGGCTTTAGAAGGTTCCAGAAGGCTCACTCCAGGCTTGTGCAGGGGATGAGCAAAGGTGGGCAGGGGCTGATTAGAATTGGTCCACCAGGCAGGAGTCCCTAGATGTTCTTCTACTGTAACTGAGGCCCTGTCACAGACAGGAGGCTCCAGGTTGGGGAGGCCTCAGCTTGCAGCTCCTTCCAGCAGACTGTACGTAGGTTCTTTCCAGCTTTGGTGTCAGGTAGTTGGAACAGAAACAAACTTAAAGTACTACCCTGAGGACAAAGCCAAAACCAATCCCTTGAAGCCATTGGAACAGTTCCACTCAAGATTATAAAAGATTAAACCAAGGAAATGGGGTGAATGGAGTGTTGGACAAGTAGCCTTTCAGTGAGCTGAACCACAGCCACTGCTCTCAGGGTTTTTTGGCTGTCCTGTGGCTTTGGCCACGCTGTGACATTCTCAATCGACTCCAGCTCCTATTGATGCCCCATAGATGGACAGAGAACTTACACCGGTTGCGGGGGGGGGGGTTCTTCAGCCTCCCTCCCTCCCTCAGCTGAGTCCGTCTGGGTCGAGGAGACCCTGGTGGTGGGGAACCCCTGTCTGGGCCTCCTGCCTGCCCTGTACTTCTTCCCACTGGGAAGTCAGAACCTTTCCCTGACTTGGCTAGTTGTCAGTGGGTCAGTAGACACCCACACAACAGGGTAGTGCCAGGCTCCACAAGAACTAATCTTGGGCCCTGCCCAATAGGCTGGCCAGTCCCCTGGGAGGTCTGTGACTCCACCCTGTACGGTCTTTGTCTGGTGACTCGGGGCATGCAGCCACCAGGGCAGCAGGAACTAGGGGCCCTCAGACAAACCTGGGAACCCGGGGCCTGGGAGCAAGCAGACAAGGGTATGGCCTCTTTTCTGCCCCACCTGTCACTGAGTCATGCTGAAAACACCTAGCTGGTTTCCGGCTAGGGCCAGGCCCCTCACCTACCTCAGGTGAGAACAGAATCCTAGTCCCCGCCCACCCACCCAGGTGACAGGCCCAGTGTGTGGGCCTAGCTCTGTACCTGCCCTCTCCCCCAGGGTTTCTGATCAGCACTGAGGCCTCAGGATTGGGTTAAGCCTACTTGGTCTTATGGAGGCTTCAGAGGCTCCAGCTTTGAGGAGTGTCCTTGAGGTTGGTGAGGGAGGGTCCAAGCACCTGAGGCTGCTGAGCCCTGACTGCACCTCTTTGTTGTTAGTTGCCTTTGAGTCAATTCCAACTCATGGTGACCCCGTGTGTGCAGAGTAGAACTGCTTCATCGGGTTTTCAAGGCTGTGACCTTTCAGATTCGGATCACCAGGCTTCTCTTCCAAGGCATCTCTGGGTAGATTCGAACCACCAACCTTTCAGCTAGCGTGCTTAACCATTTGTGCCACCCAGGGACTGTTTGTACCTCTAACCAGCTCCAATAGCTGGCACTCACACTCTGACTTCCTGGTTTCCCGGAAGCTTCCACAGTCCTGCCTTAGGACATTGGGTGCAGCCTCCAACTATCTCCCTGCTAAGATCAGGGAGGGGTTTAGTGTCTCCTTGTATTTAGGCCCTTGGGCCTCCGTTTATCTCTTTTGTGCCCTGAAGAAGGTACAGGAAGTGGCCTGAGGTTCAGGATGACCTTGGAGTCTCAGGGAGAGGGACGCTGTTACCAGATGGTGCCGGCCAATTAGCCCAGAGTCCAGCCCCTTGTGCAGGTGGGGAAATCAAGGCCTGACAAAGGGACAGGTTTGCTGAAGTGCACACAGAGAGGCAGGGCAGAGCCAGCAGACAGCATGAGAGGACTCTGCTTAAGAGCTCAGACTTCGAACCTGGCTCCTCTCCTGAAGGGCTCTGCGGCCTTGGACAAATGACCAGACCTCTCTGAGCCTGTTTCCTCATCTGTAAAGTGGGAGTGGTGAGATCACCCACTGTACAGGGTAGTTGTGAGGACAGAATGGGGTTGGGTCTGTAAGACTCAGTAACATTGTCAGATTGGACATGGCAGGATAGGGTAAGGAGTAGAGAAAACCAACTTTCCAGCCCAGACCTCCTTCCCTACCCCTGCTACCTCTGAGAACCATGAGTACGGGGAGGTGGCTGACAGAGTTGGGACCCTCTCCAGTCAGGCTGAGTGAGGGGCGAGAGTCTTGGGCTGCTATGGTCACTGACAGAGACCCCAAGGGGTCAATGTGTGGGGCTGAGCCCTGACCTCATTCCTGTCCCCCCTCCCCAAGCCTGGCCTGGTGGTCCCCAGCTCCAACATCAGCTGCCGCCATTTCCCTCTGCTGGTTAGCAGCAGCTTCTTGCGTGTGGACCTATTCAACGGGCTGCTGGGAAAGGAGCAGATCACTGCACTACATGTGACGTGCATGGAGAATGTCACGGTGGCCCACATGGGCACGGCTGATGGACGCATCCTGCAGGTGAGCTTCTCATACCAACAGGTCCCTGGGTCCAGGTGCCCATCCCCATTCCCGTGCCCATTTTGCTCACAGCTGAACTGTCCCAGGTGGAGTTGGCCAGATCTCTCAACTACTTGCTGTATGTGTCCAACTTCTCGCTGGACAGCAATGGGCAGCCTGTGCAGCGGGATGTCAGTCGCCTTGGGGATCACCTGCTCTTTGCCTCTGGAGACCAGGTAAGGTGGACCAGGGTCAGGGGCTGAGGTCAGGGCTGTGGGAATATAGCCTCCCCATCCAAACCAGGTAAGCATTGACATACCCAGGTTCTACCACCCTGACTTAGAATGGAACCAGGGAGTCTATGAGGCCCAGTCCCCCCACTTCTGAGCCACCCATCTACACCCAAGGTCTTCCAGGTACCCATCCGGGGCCCTGGCTGCCGCCACTTCCTCACCTGTTGGCGTTGCCTACGGGCTCAGCGCTTCATGGGCTGTGGCTGGTGTGGGACCATGTGCGGACAACAGAAGGAATGTCCCGGCTCCTGGCAACAGGATCACTGCCCACCTGAGCTCACTGAGGTATGGCTTCCCTGGCACAGGTAAGGATGGAACAAGCTGAACTTAGGATCAGTTAGCAGGTCTTGACCATCATCTTCCTGAGGCCTAGGGTTTCTTCAGTATCTGTAAGGAGGGCATTATTGGCAGAGGGGATGGCACATGCAAATACTTGGAGGCAGGAAAGTGCTTGAGTGAGGAGTAACACGTGACCCAGAGTGGCTGGAGTGTCGGATGGGCAAGGGGTTTGGCAGGAGATTTTAGGGGAAGCAGGCAGGGCTGAGAGAGCCCAGGTCCACACAGGGACTCAGGCTATCTGTCCCTCCCCTCAGTTTCATCCTCACAGTGGGCCCCTAAGGGGCAGCACGAGGCTGACCCTGTGTGGCTCCAATTTCTACCGGAACCCTGCTGGCCTGGTGCCTACAGGCACCCATCAGGTCACTGTGGGCCAAAGTCCCTGCCAGCTGCTGCCCAAGGACACCTCAAACTTCAGGTACAACCTGGTTCCTGTGCTTCTGCCCTTGCCAGGGCACCTAGCAGCTCCTTCCCTATGAGACTCTGTCCTGTGCTTTCTTGGGGTAAAGGGGTATGGTGCAAGCTGCAGGCCAGTAGTGGCTCTGGCTGCTGTGTCTGGGGAGACATCTCTGTTCCTTTCTGAGCCTGCATGTACCCTACCCTTCTGTTGAGTCATGAACCGGGCAAGGTTGTTCCCTGCCCCATTAGATCCTGCCTACCCTGGAAGAGGGCTTGGGAGATGTCATCCTTGGGCTCAGAGGAGGCCTGTGACTTGCCGGCGAGTATGTAGCCAGACCTGTGTGACCCCCAGCTGACCTCAAGGGTTCCCCCATGCCCCAGACCAGTTCCCCGGAAGGACTTTGTAGAGGAGCTTGAGTGTGAGCTGGAGCCCTTGGGTATGCAGGCAGCTGGGCCTGCCAACATCAGCCTCACTGTGACCAACACGATGACAAGCAAGCACTTCCGGGTAGACGGCACCTCTGTGTTGCAAGGCTTCTCTTTCTTGGTGAGACCACCTTGCCCCTTCTGTGCCCTTGGCTGACTGGGCAGTACAGGCAGGGAATGGCATGAAGAAGAGGGCCTGTTCCAGCTAAGTCACCTCTATGTCCCCTTAGGAGCCAGAGCTGACAGCCGTGCAGCCCCTGTTTGGCCCGCGGGCAGGGGGCACCCTCCTCACCCTTAAAGGTCAAGGTCTGTGCGTAGGTACCAGCCTAGCTGTGCTAGTCAATGGGACCGAGTGCCTGCTAGAACAGTAAGTGCTAGCATGCAAGGAGATGGGAGGCTATGGGACCCTGCCCAGGGGAGTCCTCACCAGGGGGAACCTGGATCCCTATCAAAGCAAAGGGAAGAGGGCTCAGACACTGTCAATGTGGGGGGTGGGTCCATGAAGAAGGGTTGCCCCCTCCATCCTAGAGGCAGCTTGCTCATGTGCTGGCATGGGTTGGCAAGAGAGCCCATTGCAGAGTCCATGTGTTCCAGCCAAGGCTGTGGGGAACTGGTTCCCTCTCTGCTCTCTTGGGGTTCTCAGTGGGACCACCCTATCTTCAGACAAACCAGTGGGGTATGAGCAGGTGGGGGAAACGACCAACAGAGGAACTGGGAGGGAAGGGCAAGCCGCTATAGGAAATGGGCCTGGCCACCACACAGTGGTGCCCCTGAGCCCAATCCCCATTCTGCAGGGTCAGCGAGGGGCAGCTTCTATGTGCCACACCCCCCGGGGCTGCCACGGCCAGAGTTCCCCTTCGCCTGCAGGTGGGGGGTGCTGAGGTACCTGGCCCCTGGACCTTCAACTACCAAGAAAACCCCATTGTGCTGGGCATCAGCCCCAACTGTGGCTACACGTAAGGGCCACCTCTCTGCCCACCTGGCTTCTGAGGGGTTAGGGAGCCAACCTCTGAGAGCTCGCCGAGCCCAATACCCTTCCTTCCCCCACAGTGGTTCCCATGTCACCATCCGAGGCCAGCACCTGACTTCAGCATGGCGCCTAGTGCTATCATTCCACGATGGGCTTGGGGCAGTGGAGAACAGGGTAAGTGGGCACCGACCAGGAGGGAGGAAGTCTGGACCAGTCCCCTGAGCTCCAGCTCCACCCCATGCTGGGTGAGGAGACTGGGGTGGTCATAGGTGGGATGCCTGGCTAACCACCATCCTGTGGCCCCCAGCAGTGTGAGAGGCAGCTTCCGGAGCAGCAGAAGTGCTACCTCCCTGAATACGTGGTCCGAGGCCCCCAGGAGTGGGTAACAGGGAACCTGAGTGTCCGGGGGGATGGAGCTGCTGGCTTCACACTGCCTGGCTTTCGCTTCCTGCCCCCTCCCCATCTGCCCAACGCTGACCTGGCCCCGCTGAAGCCTGAGGAACATGCCATTAAGTTCCAGGTAGCTGTGAGAGATGGTTGGGGGTAGGCATTGGGGGGGTTAGGGCTGAAAGCCTCCCCAAAGGAGGCAGGGGCCACTGGCCAGTGCTCATGATCATCTCTGCAGTATATTGGGCTGGCCGCTGTGGCTGACTGCGTGAGTGTGAACGTGACCGTGGGTGGTGAGAGCTGCCAGCACAAGTTCCGGGGGGACATGGTCATCTGCTCCCTGCCTCCCTCCCTGGAACTTGGCAAGAATGACGTCCGGCTGCAGGTAGGCAGCCCAGCTGGCCTTCCACAGGAGACTTGGGTCAATCAAGAGCCTGGAGGCCGGGCCTGAGCTGCCACCTGCCCCCAGGTCTGCGTGGATAGCGTGTGTCACATCCTGGGCAAGGTGATGCGGCTGGGCCCAAAGAGGCTCCCACAGGGCATACTCCTTAGTGTCCTGCTGGTCCTGCTCCTGCTTGTGGCTGTACTGGTCATCGCTCTGGTCTTCAACTGCTGGTGGCGGCGGAGGAAGCAGCTAGGTGAGCCTCCCACCCCCACCCCTACTCAGCCCCTACAACCAAACAACGGCATCTTCAAGTCCGTACGCCCTCACTCTGCCTGGGCTTTGGGAGTCTGCCCACACCTCATAGGTGGGAGTAGGCTCCGAGAAGCTTCAAGAGGCTGACCACCAGGAGCCATCCTTCCACAGGCCTTTCTTCCAACTTGGCTAACCTGGCATCCCTGGATCAGACCTCTGGAGACATCCCCCTGCCTTTGCTCCGCTCAGGCTCTGACTACAGAAATGGCCTAGGTGAGGCTGTGGAGGTTCTGGAAGCTGTGGCCATCCCCTCTGCCCTCCAAGCCCCTCACTCCATCTCTCCCACAGCATTCCCGGCCACTGAGGGTCTGGGCCCCACCACCCAGACCCATGGACTCTCCTCAGATGACATGGATGAGTCCTGTGTTCCACTGCTCCAGACAGAGTCCATCCAACTCCAGGACCTAGATCCCAAGCTCCTGGCTGAAGTCAAGGATGTGCTGATTCCCCATGAGCGAGTGGTCACCCACAGTGACCAAGTCATTGGCAAAGGTGTGGGGGTCAGGCTGAGCTGGACTGGGGCAGAGATGAGGTCCTAAGATGATATGGGCTCAAGGGACAGTTGGGCTGGCCTCTGCTCTGGTCTTCCCACCAACCTGTGTGATCCTGGTCATAATGCTTAACCTCTCTGAGTCTTCATTTGCTCAGCTTTGAAATAGGGGTTAGAACTGTTCCGTCTTCATTGGGTTCTGGTATGGATTAAACAGGCATGGGAGGGCTGCAGGCTCTGCCATCATACGGCTGCTTCTTGTTTTTAATGTTGGATTGGCAAGAGGTCTGGTTGCCAGTGAAAGGGTATGGTGCATGTCCTGGGGGCTGGGGTCCTTCTCACCACCTCCCCCTCACCAGGCCACTTCGGAGTTGTCTACCATGGGGAATACACAGACCAGGCCCAGAATCGAATCCACTGTGCCATCAAGTCGCTGAGTCGTAAGTGGGCCAGGGGCTGGGAGGCTAGGGGGAGAAGCGCCAGGCTGGGAGGGTCCTCATCCGTGCTGTGCCACCACCTTGCTGAGTGACCCTGAGCAAGAGATCTTTCTTCTCCACTGCCCCATCTGACCCTTGTAAGGGGACTCCCTGCCCTGGGCCTGACTCAAGCTGTTCTGCAGGCATCACAGAGGTGCAGGAGGTGGAGGCCTTTCTGCGCGAGGGGCTGCTCATGAGTGGCCTGCACCATCCGAACGTGCTGGCTCTCATCGGTATCACACTGCCACCTAACGGACTGCCCCGTGTGCTGCTGCCCTATATGCACCATGGAGACCTGCGCCAGTTCATCCGTTCACCCCAGCGGGTCAGTGCTCTGGGGCCTGGGTTTGGGGTCTCAGGCAACAGCTGGGGATGGAGCTGCTCTGCCCTTGCCCACAAACCCACCTGTGTCCCCAGAACCCCACAGTGAAGGACCTCATCAGCTTCGGCCTGCAGGTAGCCCATGGCATGGAGTATCTGGCAGAGCAGAAATTTGTGCACAGGGACCTGGCTGCTCGGAATTGCATGTGAGGGGCCGGAGCACCTGGGGTGAAGCGAGGGGGCAGGGCACCAGGGTATGCATCCGCCATACGGGCATCTTAGGGAAGAGCCCAAACTCCAGCCCTTGCTGTACAGCCCTGGGCATGCCCTCTCCCTCCATCTCTGGGCCTCAGTTTTCCTGTCTGCCCAGTGCAGTCTTGGATTGGGCACTCTGGCTCCGAAACCCGTGAGGGCCTGGACCAGGTGGGTTCAGGGCCTGATGTGGGCGAGTCCTGAATATGATCCCCCCTCCAAGGCTGGACGAGTCATTCACAGTCAAGGTGGCTGACTTTGGTCTGACCCGTGGCATCCTGGACAAGGAGTACTACAGTGTTCGACGGTACCGCCACGCTCGCCTACCTGTCAAATGGATGGCACTGGAGAGCCTGCAGACCTACAGGTTCACCACCAAGTCGGACGTGGTGAGGCCCCTCCTGCCCCAGAGTTCACATGGCCTCAGTGCCCTGGAAGACCACTCGCCTTGCCCATTCATTCAGCTCCCCATGGTGATCTGAGCTCAGGGGGCCGGGCAACCCCCACAGCCCCTTTGCCTCTTCTTGGGCAGGCATAAAATGGAATCTGACTCCCACCAGGGCAAGAGGAGGCTGGGAACTCATTGGCTTCTCACAGATTATCTAGCCCCTGCCCAGTCCCAACTCAATTTTTTCCTCTGAAAAATAATCCGAGGCAAGGTGGTGGGAGGAGACAGAGGGAAAACACTTGTAAGGTATTGACAGATGGGTTCTGAATGGGGAGTGGGGTCCCCCATACCTACCTCTGGGAGGTAGAGGACATAGGGACCCACCTGCCCCAAAATTTGGGATAGGAGTTGAGTCCCTTGTCTCCCCTTTCCCTGCAGTGGTCGTTTGGTGTGCTTCTGTGGGAGTTGCTGACACGGGGCGCCCCACCATACCCTCACATCGACCCCTTTGACCTTACCGACTTCCTGGCCCAGGGCCGGCGCCTGCACCAGCCTGAGTATTGCCCTGATTCCCTGTGAGTATGAGGAGGGAGGAGCTGGCCAGGAGACAGAGTTCCCAGTCAGGCCCTTTGCCCAACCCTCTCTTTGGCCCAGGCAGGGACACTCCCTGGGCCTCAGGTTCCTCATCTGAGAACTGTTGGTTCCCATCTCCATGCAAGGCAGGGTGCTGGGAGGCTGTTATGGTTGCCATGGCAACAGCATTCCCAACTCAGAGTCTGGGTTGAAGCCAGTGATTTGATTTCCCAGCACTCCTACCCTCACCCCCACCAAGGAGGGCTGTTTCCTATCTTTTCTACCCAGCTTCAAGGTAAGTTTCCATCAGCTCCCACACCAGCCCCTACGGTGTCTCCAGATCAAGCGTTTTTCACTGGATGTAGTTTCAGAGTCCCTATTCCTGGAGGGACGGCTGCTGCTATGTTGTTACTGGTTCCCAAGGGGTGGGTTTGGTGCTGAGGTTCAGCTTCATAAGCAGCATGCCAGCCTCAGCTGTGCCCAGGTCTGTACTGTTAGAACAGGGAGAACCAGGTCACAGATAAAAGTAGTTGATGACTCCTGTGTTGGGCTGGGCTCTAGAAAGGGTGAGTACCCCTTCCTCACAGCCCTGCCTGCCTTGGGTTTGATCTCTGCTATTCACTTCATTAATGCATCTGGTTTGAAGTAAGAGACATTAACTTCACTGTGTACCTGTGTCCAGCTCAGGCTCCCTGAAACAGACTCTGAGACAGAGATTTGTGTGCAGGGAGTTTATTGATAAGTTATGGGTGGTGCAAGTGGTTCGGAATCGGCTGCTAACTGAAAGGTTGTGGTTCGAACCCACTCAGCGGCTCCGCAGAAGAAAAGGCCTGGCAATCTGCTTTCATAAAGATTACAGCCAAGAAAACCCTATGGGGCAGTTCTATTCTGTAACACATGGGGTCACCATAGCCAGGGCCAACTCAATGGCAGCTAACAACAACAGGGGCAAAGGAAGCAGGACTGAGCAGAGGGAGAAGCTGGGATGCCACGAGGATGCAACAGAAGCTGCAACCCATCCCACTGGGATTTCTTGAGCTGGAATGGCCCTTCAGAGTGTTCCAAAATTAAGGCCACCGGGCAGGTCTTTTTTTTTTTTTTTTTAATTGTTGTGCTTTAAGTGAAAGTTTACAATTCAAGTTAGTCTGTCATACAAAAATTTATACATACAATGTTATGTGATGCTAGTTGCTCTCCCTATACTGTGACAGCACACTCCTCCTTTCTACCCTGGGTTTCCCATGACCATTCGACCATCTCCTGACCCTCTCTGCCTTCTCATCTTGCCTCCGGACAGGACCTGCCCATTTAGTCTCATGTATCTACTTGAGCTAAGCAGCACACTCTTCAAGAGTATTATTTTATGTCCCATAGTCCAGTCTGATCTTTGTCTGAAGAGTTGGCCTTGAGAATGGTTTTAGTTTTGGGCTAACGGAGAGTCTGGGGGCCATGTCTTCCGGGGTGCCAATCAAACCATTAAGTCTGGTCTTTTTACTAGAATTTGAGTTCTGCACCCCACTTTTCTCCTGCTCCGTCAGAGACTCTGTGTTGTGTTCCCTGTCAGGATGGTCGTTGGTGGTAGCTGGGTATCTTCTAGTTCTTCTGGTCTCAGACTGATGAAGTCTCTGGTTTATGTGGTGCTTTCTGTCTCTTGGGCTAATATTTTCCTTGTGTCTGTGGTGTTCTTCTTTCTCCTTTACTCCAGGTGGGTTGGGACCAATTCATGCATCTTAGATGGCCACTTGCTAGCTTTTAAGACCCCAGACACCACTCACCAAAGTGGGAGGCAGAACATTTTCTGAATAAACTTTGTTATGCCACTTAACCTAGATGCCCCCTGAAACCATGGTCCCCAGACCCTGGGGCAGGTCCTTATATCAAGCATCAACCACTGACCACGGCTGCCTCCAGGGAGGAGGTGTGAGCTTCGGGAGGCAGTTCCCTTCTACCTAGGGCAGTTCCCAGAGAGGGCCTCAGCCAAGAGCTGTCAGAAGGCAACACTCCCAGTGACTGGGAGAAGGAAAAGGGAAATCTGGGTGGCATAGCACAACATCCATTTCACCAGGGCAAGTCCCTTCCCCTCTCTGGGTCTGTTTCTTCATCTGCAAAGTGAGTAGAGTAACAGTACCACCCTCAGAAAGTCTGAGAATTACATGAGACAATATGTATAGGGCTCTTCGAACGTCATTTAAGGCAGGGATGACATCCTCAGGATAATGGGGTATGCATTAGGACCCACTGCACAAACCCAGAGAGCCTCTGCTTGGAAACCATGGCACCACTGGTGCTGCCCCACAGAACTGTCACCAGATCCAGGCTTCCTTGGTGGAAGATGTGTAATGATAAACATGATAGCTTGTGAGCTGAGCCTGTGCTAAGCATTTCACAGTCATCCTCTCACATTATGCCCCAATAGCTCTGTGATCAGAGGAAGACCAGGAGGCACAGAGAGGTTAAGGAACTTGCTCAAGATCACACAGCCCAGGCCACAGGACTCAGGAGCCCAAGCTCTTAACCCCCTACACATCCCCCCACCCCAGGCAATTCGACCTCCACCAGGGTTGAAAGGCAAGACTAGAACAGCAATCACAGTGATGAGCACAGCTCGCTGATGGGGTGATGCTGGGCACCAGGCCCTGTCACCTGTCCTCAATGCCATTTTTTGAGGCAGAGGTTTAACAGTGGGTAGACAGCCAGGAGGAAGCCTTAAGTAAGGAATTCCCCTGTCCCTGATGCCCCCTGCCCCCCTGCAGGTACGCAGTGATGCAGCGCTGCTGGGCTACGGATCCAGGGGCCCGACCTACCTTCGGGGTGCTGGTGCGGGAAGTGGAGCGTGTGGCGTCCACGCTGCGCGGGAACCACTACGTGCAGTTGTCTGCAGCCTATGTGAACGTGGGCCCCACTGCCTTGGACTGGGCAAACGCGTCCGTGGAACAGCCACTGGTCCCTCCAGCGCCTCCAGTGCATAGGAGCGGGGGGCGGCCCCGCCCCCTCTCAGAGCCGCTGTGACCCACATGACCACAGCTCCAGGCCCCTGGGGGACAGACCTGCCCAGTGGCTTCGACCTAACCCCAAGCTGCCCCTGGTCCTGTCAAGCCAGAGGGAGGCCCCAGCTGGCCTCGCCGTGTCCCTGCCCCTTAACCTCTAGGGGCGATGGGGCCTGAGCAGGGCACATTCGGCCCCTCACCTCACAGAGGAAGCAAGTGAGGGTGAGCCTTCGTGCAATAAGTATTTAAGAAGCGCCTGTTGTGTACCTGGCCCTCTGGATGCAGGGGACTCAACCAACTCAGCAGTGACCGTACAGACACTGGCTTTTGAACCAGTAAATGAACAAATGAATATTTAAGTACAAATTGTAGTAAATGCTATAAAAGAAAAAGACAGAAGGCTGCTTTGAGGGAATGGAAGACTGCCTTGGATATTAGATAGCGAGGTGAGAGAAGCCTCCCCAGGGGCTGACATTTGTGCTGAGGCCTGAAGGGTGGGAAAAACCACCAGGGCAGAGTTGGGGGAGGAGAGTTTGGGGGCAGAGTGAGCAGCTCATGTAAAGACCCTAAGGCTGAAAAGAGGTTGGGTGAGCAAGAAGGCTCCAGAGAGCAGGAAGGGGGGCAGGGCCCAGAATCCAGCATACAGGGTCCCAGGAGCTTTTGGATGGGACCAAAGCAGGTGGTACTCCAGCATGCTGCAGCATGACCCTCCTGTTCCCCTAGTCCCTCTGCAGGGCTCCCTGCTCTACCTGCCGCACCCCTGATACACACACACACACTGATTGTCAGGGCATGGAGACCTGCCCCTCCATCTCCCAACTCTGCCAGCATTGCCCCTGCAGCCTTGAGAAAGACAAGCCATCAGTAAGGCCTCAGCTCCACACTTTCAAGGCGCCAACTGCAAGGTGCCGACTGCCCAGGCTATTTATACTCGCCAAGGCCACCGCACAGTAGCTGCCGGAGTGTGAGGGGGCAGCCTCCACTGGAAGAGAAGAGCAGCTTCCCCTTCCCACTGACCCCCTGCCACCCTCACTTCTGGAAGGGGGGCAGCTGAGCTCTGCTGGTGCAGATGCCTGGGGTGCCAGGGTGCCAGGGTGCCTGTGCCCAGGGCGTGGATCATGGTGGTTCCTCTCCTTGCTCAGGAGCCCTATGGCCCCCATCCCACCAGCTAGGCGACCCAGCTCACCTGAGGGGGGAAGGCTCTTTCCCTCAGCTGTATGCCACTGTCACACATGGACCCGTGGGGTTGGGGCAAGAGTCCACTGGCAAGCTGAGTGGAGGTCTCCTTGGGACCAGAGCTGCCTTCATCCATACTGGCTGCCCACTTCGTCATCTCAGGCTGGAGAGAGGGCCAACCCCGGGGACCTTAAGAACCCTGGGGACAGGTGGGTGAGGCTTAAAAGAGGACTTCTCTGCTTAAGGGCAGGGGACCAAAGATCAGGAGCCTCTAAGCTGGAGGGGGGCAGAGACAGTCTGTCCACCTGGTCACCACTGTACCCCAGATGCCCACTGCAGGCTCGGCCATTGCCCCCTTGTCCCTGTGTGGGGTGGGGGGAACAGTTGTGTCATCCCTGACTGAGGCTGGGAAAGAGATGAGTGGAGAGTCCTGGAACACGTTCCCCGCCCCCCGCTCCAGCTGTGGCCCCCATTACCACTTGAAAAGGACTGCATCTATCTCCTTCAACTTACAGTTCACACCCCTTAACCCCATCTTAGGAATCTAAGGGTCAGTCAGAGCTCCAAGCTTGGAGAGAGGAGGTGGGGGGGGGCACCCAGGGGCTTCTCTGAAATTGGACTATGGCTCTTCCCACCAAAGCTCTGTGGCTCATGGACCACTAGCTCATCTGTTCACAAGAAAGGGGCCCAGAGAGGAAGGGATCTCTGGATGGGAAGGGAGCTTAGAGAGGGGCCCCAGAGAAGGGAGAAGAGCTCAGAGGGAGAGAGCTCAGCAGGGTGTTGGTTGTCCTGTGCAGCCAGAATGTGGGGCTTTGCGCCTGTTTCTGGGTCGAGGGCCTCCAGGGCCAGGACTCTCCAGGGAGAGGTCCCAGTTAAGCAAGCTCCTGGGGTCCTGGATTGTGGTACAGCTGCCCTCCCCCGCACTGACTGCTGTGGCCCCCAAAGTCTGAGCTCCAGCCTCAGAGCCACCTGACAATCCTAAGCCTACCTGGAATGTCAGGAGCTGGAACTACCTCAGAGTTTCAAATTCTTGACTGGACTGCTAGGGAGGACAGGAAGGGAGAGGTAGTTTCAGGGCCCTGAGGGGTGTGTCTGAGGGGACGAAAAGATTCCTGGGTGGCTTCCAGGGCTGGTCAAGGCTGGGCCACCCCTTCCAGAGGGAGGCCTGGGTAGTCCCTCAGGCATGGTGGGCAGCTAGTGCAAGAGGAAGTTTGCTGGTGGCCCTGGTAGATCTGGGCCTGCCATCAGGGTGGGGATGGAGCGAGCAGAGATTTCTTCCAGGGGTTTGGGAGTCTGGCCTTACCACCATGAGCTGTGGGGAGCAGGTGCCAGCACCTCTGCCTTGTCTCCTCCGTCATAGCCCAGAGACAAGCAGGTGCCAGTAAAGGCTGAGGTGGAAGCCAGGCTACCAACTGGGGCCTAGGAGGTACCAAATGACTCATACCCTCCTGACTGCCCTTTGGTATCACTGTTGTCTAGCACCTGGAGGGCATGCATGGGGCAGACTAACTTGGTTTGGTGAGGGGCCACGAGTCTGGCCTGAGATTCCTCTTACACCTCAGCCCCAGCCTTTGGGGCAATTTTCCCAGGGAGCCAAAGGCTTTCTGGGTAGGAAGGCACACCTGAGTGCTCCAGGTATAGCCCATCCCAAACCCTGGCTCCTTCATGGGACAGGGGCCTCACCAGCCACTCCTTCAGCATGGCCCATTTCATGACCTAACTCCCTTCACCTGCAGGAGACAGCAGGACCCGGTGCCTGCTGGGTAGGGGAGGGAGAGAGTGCTGCTGGAAATATCTGAGGCTCAGAGAGGCCTGGGCTGCATCTCTTGCACTTACCACCTCTGCCTGGGGAGAAGCAGCTCCAGGAGTCAGCAGCTGAGCATTAAGCCTCCATCGGCCAGTCTGTGACATGAAAAACACCTTTTATCAACACTAGGCTGGAGAACTCCCCTCCATAAGGAACCCAGGAGCTGAGATCTCTTCAACCAGAACCCCTGCTCTGCCCATGTGGGAGTCCAACCATCCCAGAGGTGTGGCTCATTGGCCTGGGGGAGTGGGGATGACTCCATGAAGCACCCCCGATATTCTACAGTGGGGCCAGCTGAACCTCAGTCTCTCCCTGCACTCTCTTTTGGGGTTTGTTCCCAGCTGTCAAGGTTTTTAACCCAGTGAGCACAGGTGCCAGGAGAGCCTGGGCAGTGGCCACATTCACTTCTGGCTGCAGTGGCCCCGAGTGGGCTGGGTTCTCGTCTAATGATGATGATCTGGAACCCAGCCCTAACGCTTGGTACTCCCCTGGTAGGAGTCCCTGGCCCAAAGATAGGCAGCAGTTGCCCAGTGGGTGGCAGAGTCTGCCTGACCCAGCTCAGTTTATAGGTGTGGCACCTGGATCCCAGCCACCTCACATCACCACCCTTGGGCAACATCAGAAACAACAGTTTCCCCTGAATGCCTATTCCCATTAGTCCATCCCAGACAGGAACTCAAATTCCCTGCCTCTCTATAGGGAGGAGTGGCTCTGCTTTGAGCCTCACCAAGAGCTCTTCATCTTGCTCTGTTCTTTCAGTGACCTGGGCATCCTCTGCCCCTGGTTCCAGGATGTTCATGCCAGACCTATTGCCAGGGACTGTAGAGCGGCCCTGGGGAGAGAGGCAACAAGAACATTCAGAAAAGCTTGGGCAGAGGGAGAGCAGAGTATGACCATGCCAGAGTGGCAGCTGCATCCCTCCTCGCTCTCCTCTTGGCAAAGAGGACCCTAGCACTGGATTTCTCCCCCATCACAATCGCCTGTCCCCCTACTACCTCTGCTCCACTCGTCTGGCAGCCCTGGCTCTGGAACGGAAATAGAAGTTCTAATGGCCCTGATGACCAGCTCTTCGCTGGGCTGGTGGCAGGAGGGCCCTGGTGTTTGGCCCTTACCAGTATCACTGTGGCTCCATGAGAGCTCAGAGGCCAGGCTCATGGCAGTTGCTATTTTGAGTTCAGGTGGTGGAAGCTGAGGGAAAGTGCTGAACCCCTGGTGGGCACAGCATGTGTAGTGGCAGAGGAGCTGGTGCACACCAGAGGCTCCCAATGCCAGGGGCATCCTCACCTCCTCTGTCAGGTTGGTTCAGCTACCTGCACACTTGTGGCCTCTTGGACTGGGTACTTGGGATCTGGGGGAAGCATCAGGGAAGGCAGTGGCTCAGAGCAGCTGCTGGCCAAGATCACGGAACTCAGCTTCTAAGCCAGTATTCCTCCCTCATGCTGCAAGTCCTTCCTGGGGTGTTTTGACGTGGACTGTGGGGATTTGGAGGCCCCAAAGGAGAGAGCTCCACACCTGAACTCCATGGCAGTGACAGCTTCAGCCAGGCATCAGTCCTGCTAACATGTGGGGAGTCCCCTCTTCAAGGGGGAAAAGAGTCCTTTGGGCAGCTTCAGTCACCCTGCCGGCATGGGCTTAAGTCAGCCCCCCACCAACTGGGCCTGGATCCTACAGGGACCCTGAAGGAGGGCAGCCCTCTGCACATCCCCTCTGCAGGCATGGTTGGAAATCTCTGCTTGGCAGTCAGGAGGTCACACATGCTTCCAGCAGCACTTCCTTTGCCCCCACCGATGCTGGCTTCTGGAGGGCCTGCTCCCAGGGAGGGTGAGGAGCACGCCCAGCCCCTAAGCCAGCTGTGGAGCAGTCAGGGCGGCTGTGCTGCTGCCCTCCCTCCATGCTGGTGCGGCTGGCCATCTTTCACGCAGGGTTACGTAAGCTTGAGTCAATTGGGGCTCAGAGCAGTTCTTTGTGGGCTATTTTTAAGCTGTAACACATCACAGCAGAGGGGTCACTGCACTACCGGCTTGCAGGGAAGGTTGTTTAAACATCTGTTATTTAATTACCCTGCGCCTTAGAGATTGGAAGCCATGTCCTCTCGTCCTGCCCGCAGGGGTGGATCCTGCCTTTCCTGTCCAGACTAGGTTATCTCCCCCCACTTCCTCTACAGGTTCCCCTACGGCTGGGGTTCCCTGCACCCTGATTGTCTTCCTCTGGGGTCAACTAGGAAGGCCAGGGAGCTGAAGGTGCCAAATCTTTCAAAGCATGGTGATGCCTCCGTGGAATGGGTGCACCCTTGCCAGGAGAAGCTCCAGGGAAGCAGGATGTCTAGGGTTCATAGGTCACTTGGATAGCTTCAGGAAGAAGGCCTAGAGAGGATGACAGGACAGAGCACTGGACATGGAGCTCAGAGACTGAGAATGCATGCCTTCCTGCTTGGGGGCCTCAATTATCCCATCAGCACCAAGAGAGGGTTTTCAGAAGCCTACCCTTGCCTGGGCTTGCTCCTACCTGGAATGCCCTCCCTCCACAGATCTAAATGCTCCCCATCTGCAGCCTCTGGAGCAGAAGGGCTGGAGTATGAGCCCCTGGACAGTAACAGGGCAGGGATGCACCTCTAGGGAGACAGACTTCACTTTTTGCTCCACTTTCAAGTGAATGGCTGCGCTGGGAGCCCTTTAAGCTCTGGCTGATCCTAGATGTCCAGAGCCTTCCCAGGGCACAGGGAGGGGAGGGCAGCTAGACTGGAAGGGTGTAAGGCCAGGAACTCAACAGAGCTGTCTCCTGAGAGTGCAGTGGAGTTCAAAATATGTCTGTGTTGGAGAAGCAGGCCTGGGGGGACTTGGCTGGCCACGAGCTCCTGGTAGAGTGAAGACTTCTGTACTCTCCCCTCCATGCCCGTCCTGCCACTCCCCTCCATCCTCAAGGCTTCCTGGGTGGGAGGGTTCCAGCCTGACCCATGGGGGAGAAGGGTTTCTCAGGACAACCCAAATCTTCTGACCTCCTAAAGGTCCACCCTCTCTACAAGGGGCTTGTCCTGGCCTTCTCCCCAAGCCCACCTGGAGAGGCGAGAGGGAAGGCAACGCTAGGACCTGCCCTCACAGAGAAGCCGGGTATCATCCTCAGACTGAGCTCTTCTTAGTTCCTCCTTGTTCCCTCCACCACTGACAGCACTCAGACTGGGGAATGGGCTCAGCCTGGGGGAGGGGCTCTCCAGGTTGCCATGGAAACATATTGGCCCTCCTCACTTCCCAGAATCGAAAATAGAATTGGATGCCCTTCTTCCTGGTGAGAGACTATTTAAAAATATGTGGGGGGAGGGAGGCACAGAGATGCTATCCCTGCCCAGTCTCTAGGAGCTGAGAGAAGGGGCCCAGCATGGGAGTCCTTCTACCTAGCCTGCTGCCCCTCCCCCGCAACTAGATGGAGTCGGAATGGGCTCTTGGCCAGCTGAGAATTTTGAGTAAAAGAGACTCACCCTAGATCCACAGGGTGTGTAGCTGACCTATACTCAACACCACCAGGTTACTAAGAGGGCACTGGCTTAGAGACGCCAACAGAGAAAATGCTCCCTCCTGGGCCTGAGCCACCTGCTAAGCTATTGGGAGGAGAGGTAGGTCTATGCAGGAAACAAGCTTGGGTGTGGGACTTGGGGCTGCAGTACTGGAAGGGAGGCATGCTGGCTCCTCTCTGACAGGGCCAAAGCCCACACATGGCACCCAGTGGTGGTACTACAGATTTTAAAGTGTAGGTCTAGAGCCTGGTGGTCTGGCTTCAGATTCTGGCTCTACTACTCACTAGCTGAGAGCTCTGCCAGTTCTCTCCCTCGGTTTCCTCATCTGTAAAATGAGGAAAGTGCCCAGCTTATTGAATTGCTGTGAGCCTGAGTTACATGTGCTCAGCACTGCCCTGGCCCAGAAGAAAGACACGATCAATACCAGTCACTGTTATTATTGCTATAAGGGGCATTTGCTTCCCTGGCGGGAAGGGCCATCTCCTTTCTCCTGGCTGCCTCCTTTGGGCCTCCCTTCATGGGCCAGACCCTTCAGCCCCTCTACTCCCTTCAGCCCTGAGGCCAGTTGTTCACAAAGGCTCCCTATCCCTGGGAAGGAGTGTTATACCTCACTTCTGTAGTCAGTGAGGGATGGTTCGGTGGTTGAACAGGCCGGGGTCTCTCAGGGCCTCCTTCTATGCCTCCCCAGCCCTCCCAGGTGCAGCCTAGCCCAAGTGTCGCACAGGCACCAGAGGCTGCTACTGGCATCTCTGCTGTGGAAAAAACAGCTGGTCTAGGGCCAGAGATCGATGAAGTTAATAGTGTTCAGTACAGCAATGGACTAGAGAGCAGGGTGAGCATGTGTGCACATGGGCACGCATGCAGGCCACAAACCCTTGGGCTCTGTCACCTTCCTGGGCCACATCATGAGGGTGAGCAGCTCCTCCTCAGTGTCCAGAGCCATCTGTCCCCATTCTTAACCAAAGGCGGCCTCCAGGGAAGGGGGAGGGGACCCAGGGGGCCTGAGAGATGACTAAGTCAGGCTTTGCCCAGTGTCAAGTCAGGAAGGTGAGGCTGCAACACAGTGCTAGCTTTGGTCCCAGGTCACATAGCCTTGCACCCCACGGCCAAATGGAGGCACAATTTTTAGCCTCTGAAAGCACACTGCTTTGGAGAACAAGCCTGCAGCTGCACTCTTCACAAACCTATTTCCTAGGTGGAAAGACTGAGGCCTGAAAGGACACAGAGTTGGAGGACAGAGGGAGGCGGCCCAGAGATCATAGCTGGGGGGACGGAGGATGGCCTGACCCCATCGCAGGTCAGAACCTCTAGACACAGGTCTGTGGCAATGAGCGGTTCCCGAAACTGCTGCCTAGGCCTGTTCCCTGTGGCTGCAGGACACCCCTGGACCTGGGCTGGTGGTTTAGGCAGGTCCTGCCCCCACCTCCCACCCATTTCGTGACCTGAGAAATGGAGAATAGAACTGGCCACCTAGTCTGATAGCTTACATTTCTTATGTGTGTGCTCTGTGTCCAGTCCTGTGTTGAACTTGTCCTGACTGTATACATAGCTCTGTGCCTACTGTGTTCCTACTTCTGTGCCCTGCCATGTTGCCACTGTGTGAACAGCCAGTCGGTCACTGTATGACCCATCCTGTGCCTGCCGTGTCCCCATTATATACCTAGCCCTGTGCCCTCCATATCCACCCTCCATATCCATGTCTCCATTATGTGGCCAGCACTGTGTCCACTGTATAGCCAATCTTGTACCTGCCACATCCCTACTGTGTCCCCACCATATCCCCACTGCTTAGCTAGCCCTGTGCCCAGCCCTGTGCTCGCCAGATCTCCACTATGTACCCTGTCCTGTGCCCAACCTGTCTCCCCTGTATGGACAGCCCTGTTACCCACAACATCCCTACCATTTTCCCAGTCCTGTGCCAGCCACATCCCTACTATGTGGCTAGCCCTGTGCTCACTGTGTCCCTACTGTGTGCCCCATCCTGTAATTGCCACTTAGCTGGCTCTGTGGCCACTGTAGCCTAGCCCTATGCCCAGTGCCCTTGTTCTGCCCCTGCGTCTGACCAAGGTGAAGCTGACACAAGGTGACAGGAGCCAAAACATTCGAACTTGAGGATTCTGAGCAGAAGCCCCACTCCTGCCCTTGCCACCCCCATCCCCACCTCTGCAGGATACTGGCCCTGGGCTTCAGGGACTTGTGGCTCTGGGGAGGGGGCTCTATGAGGCACAGGCAGAACAGAACCATCTGGAGCAGGAGAGACTGCCAAGGAGCTGCTGTCCCTGGAGCGGAAGCCGGGGAATGCGGGGGAGGGGAACTTGGGCCTGAGCCTGGGCCCCTCACCGCCTTCTGCCTCCCAGGAATAAATGGTAAAGGGGCTTGGGCCTCCTAGAAGGCCTCTGGTCCACACGTATAGAACTGCATTTCCTGGGTCAAGGCTTGGGTCTCAGGTTGCCACATGGGAAATGAGGAGAAAGAATCAGGCCCTGCATCTTGTATGGGCTGGGAGCCCAGAGGCTTCCTTACAGTCCCCCTGCCTACCTTTCTCCTCTAGCCTTACACTGGACCACCCCTCCCCCTGGGGGCACTGGCCTCGCTCGGGTTGGCCTGGGCAGAGTGATTGCCTGGCTAGTAAGAGGAGAAGAACCTGACCTGGAGCTGGCAGACCTCACTAGGGTCCCTGGGTCTTTCTGCCTTCCAAGCCTCGCTGGGTAGGCCCCCATTCCTCAGGGGGTGGGGCCCCTTGGCTTCCCACACTCTGCTATTCCCCAGGTCACTGGGAGCTGTGATGTGTGGGTTGCCATGGCAATGAAGTGGGGGCAGGGCACCTAGAGCATGGAGCAGGACTATGGAAGCCACCAAGAAGGTGGGGGGCCCTGATCCATCAGGCCCCCAAAGCCTCCCCTCAGCTGGAAGCCAGCAGCTAGGGGGTGACCTCAGAGGGTCTCAGGGGCCATGGATAAGCTCAGGATCCCTATACTTCAGGCAGGGGTTGTCATTGTCCATGGAGCCCATTATTGAAGGGGCCTGTGGCCCAGCCTCCCAGGCTCACACCCCTGAGCCCATTCACCAGTTACTCCAGGACCCTCCCCGGGTTAGCTCCCAATGGGGCTGTGAGCAGGCCTCCCAGGATGCCCCAAGACTCTCCCCCAATGGCCCTCTTCAGAGCCCCATTGCCAGAGCCCAGCCACATCTCATCATGGAGGACGGGACCCTGGCTCTACCTGTGCAGACGCACAGTGACAGCAGCACCATCAGTGACGTGACCCAGCATGGACCCTGCCATCCCCGGCTTCAGGTGCAGGTTGTGGGGGAGGGCAAGGCCCCATCCAAAGTCCTGGTGGGCTGGGGCAAAGGCTCCAGCATCGCTGACCAGATGGCTCCCTTGGGCACTAGAAAGAGCCGGTGGCTACCCTACTTCCCCTCAGGGGAGGATAGGGCAGCTATAGCCCAGGGTCCTCTTCCAGCTCCAGCTCAGGTTCCTGCCCAGGTTCCAGCCCAAGGTCAGGGCCAAGGCAAGTGCCCATGCCCAGCTCAAGCTACAGCTTCTTCTACGTCGCTGCCACCTTCAACTCCAGCTCGAGCTACTACTCCAGTTCTGGATGTGGCCCCAATGCCCGTTGTGATTGAACCTTATACCTGTACCCTTGGCAACCTGACTGACACCATTGCCATCACCAAGAATCTGTCCCAAGATCTCCCACTCAGGAAGTGTGGCAACCAATGGTCAGTCCCCTTGGAGTCTTCCAAAATGGGCACATCCTGCCAGGACAAAGTGAGTTTCCAGCCTCAGGAGGAGTCTCTCACCCCACCATCCACTCCAGTGGGGGCCCCAGACCATGTCCAGGAGCACAAGGTTACTAGAAGACAAACGTTACCCAAGCAACCTGAGAAACTGGTGGTGAAGCTCCTGGTTGGACCATGCAACCCAACACCAGGCCCAGAGCTCCCAGGTACCCCCAAGCCCCAGAGGATTGGCCAAGAGGGCTGCAACTCTCAGCCAGACCAGCAGCCCCTAAACATCTGCAACAACACCTATGCCAATGTGCCACTGCCTACCTACCAAGGAACCTGCCACAGGCAGCCTCCAGTCGAGTCTCCCAGGGAAGCCGTGCAGATCCCCCCTTCCAGTGCACCCACCTGCCAGCTCCGGGAAGCCATGGAAGACCGTGTGCTGGTGTTTGATATGGCCACGGGCAACACAAGGATGGGGCTGCTGTGCCATGACCCCATGGGCTCACAGGCAGTGCTGGTGGGCGTCATGCCCAACCGCCCATCCATCTACATCCCTGAGAATACACAATCATTGGCCATGCCCATCCACTCCCCTGATAACAATCGCTCCAGCTTCTGGTCCACCACACCCATGCTGTCCAGCCCCGTGCCTTCTAGTCTCTCATCTGGCAGCTACCGAGAGGTAGCCCTACTTCCCAAAGAGGCTAGGATCCACCTGGAGTCACAGAACTCTCCTGGTACTGAGACTCCCATCAGGGTCGGAATGCTTACTGGGCCCATCCCACTGGCGATACCACTCCAGTTTGGTGAGAGGATACTGACTCATGTCCCCAATCCTGGCTGGTCTAAACCCGATGCAGAAAAAAATGAACCCAGTCATACCATCTGGGTGCTGGACACCTCCAGGATGCCAGATGCCTCCATGGTCCAGACCAAGAAACTGCAGTGGATAAACTCAGAGCAGATCCCAGAGCCTGCTCCACCAGCCAATCCACAGGAAGTACCCAGAACCCAGTTTCAGGAGGACATGACCAGTCATAACCGGAAAGAGGTCACTACTGTGCACCTCGACAATCCTCTAGCTGAAGGTGCTGGGAAGTCCCCTCTCACTGGTCAGCACCCCCTAGCTGAGCAGCCCTGCCTTGCCAGGAAGATTCCCCCTGCTGGCCAGCCTCTTCTTGCTGACCAGCTGCCCAGCACTGAGCAGCCCTCTATCACTGGTCAGGCCCTCCACACTGGGCAGACACAGCCCCCCTCCACCAAGGAGCCTCCCCTTCCTGGTCAGCTCCCCCTCACAGGGCAGCCTCTTCTCACTAGGCAGGTAACTCTCACTGGGCAGCCACCCTTTTCCAGAGAACCCCTTTCCACCAAAGACCCCCCTCCCTCAAAAGCATCCCGTATCACTAGGGAGCCTGGACAGGCCTCCACCCTGTGCCAGGAAGGTGAGTCCCTAGGCCTGCCTACTCAAGTGAGGGTACTTCAGGTGCCCCTGGCCCCTGAGGAGACCTGTATCTATGTGAGCCGAGAGAAGGTCAGCATCGGGGCCACTCAAAGTTCCAGCATGCATCAGCTTGCATGGCATTCTGGTAGCCCCCCCAGGGCCCAGGAGGAACAGCTTTCCCTGATCACATTCACCACGCCTGGCACTGGCTGCAAGGTCTTGCCCATGACCATGGTGGGCACTGAGCCCCAAGGTACCCGACTCAAGATGACAGCTGAAGACATCACACAGTCCTCAGTGGTTGCACGCCTCGGCCTGCTCCATGAGACATGCAATGAGCTGGTGTCCACCATGGATGCTCTGCCAGTGCAGTCCCCAGTGATCTGCCGCCACTCCCTGGGCACCTACCAGGACATGGCAGCCATAGTGATAGACACAGGCACAGGCTTCACCAAATGTGGACTGGCTGGGGAGAACCATGTCCTCAGTGTGGTGCCCTCACGTGTCCAACTGCTGCAGCACTCAGCCCAGGGCCAGCCCCGGTACGTGGTACCTGAGAACCAAGAGGGCTCCTACCCAGTGCTGAACAGAGGTGTGATCTCTGACTGGGATGCACTGGAAGTGTTGTGGCAACACCTGTTCTACTGCAGGCTGGGCGTGCAGCCTGAGGAGCTGGCTGTGCTTGTGGCGGACTCACCTATCTCACCGCGCACCAACCGAGAAAAGGTAGCTGAGATACTCTTTGAGCGTTTCCATGTGCCTGCCATGCAGACAGTACATCAGGCCCTCTTGGCGCTCTATGCTTATGGGCGCACCACTGGGCTAGTACTGGGCAGTGGCTATGGCACCTCCTATGTGGCACCCATCCTCACTGGGGACCTGGCCCCACCTGACACCTACCGGCTGGATGTTGCTGGTTGTGACCTTACTGAATACTTGGCTCAGCTGCTGCTGGCAGGTGGCCACTCACCGCCCAAGGCAGGACTGGTCAACCAGATTAAGGAGGCCAGCTGCTATGTGACCATGGATATGGCAGCTGAGATGGCCTGCACCCAGGCCCAGGCCCCGGTGGACTTTGTTCTCCCAGACAAGCAGGTCATCACACTGGGCTCTGAGCGCTTTCGTTGCCCTGAGGCCCTTTTCCAGCCCAGCCTGCTAGGCCTCAGCCAGCCGGGCCTCCCACAGCTGGCTCTCCTAAGCATCAGCCGGCTGGAGGCCAAGCAACAAGAGCAGCTGCTGGCCAACGTGGTGCTGGATGGTGGCAGCACCATGTTGAATGGTTTTCCTGAGCGCCTGAGACAGGAGCTGGGCCCCCGTGCCACTGTACTAGGCTCTCCCCACCGTGCTATCGCTGCCTGGCTTGGGGGCTCTATCATGGCATCCCGGGACTCCTTCCAGAGCCTGTGGCTCAGCCGTCGTGAGTATGAGGAAGAGGGCCCGTGGGCCATCTATAAGTACCATCTGTGAGCATGTAAAAGTTATGGTTCTGCTTACTTTGAACACCGCAGCATGTTTCGGGCACAGGGTGGTACAGGGAGGAATAGGGGTCTGGGTGTGGGGTTGGAGGTGGGGGCCCTGGCACTCCCAAGGCATATCCTGCCTCTGCACGCAAACTCCGTGGGCCCTGACAATCCTACCCTTTTTGGAGAGCCCCCAAGCCCCTTGGCTAGCATTGGCTCTGGTCTGGCCTGGCCTTTACTGCACCCCAAGGGCAACCACAGAGAGTGGCTGGTGTGGGTTTTGCCCTGTTGCCCTGGTGACAAGTGCAATTACTCTTGATTGCCAGCTGGTTGCCATGGCAATTTCAAACATAATGTAATAACCCACACAGCCTAGAGTGAGTCACAATGGGGGTGGGGTGGGGGGAGGGGGATGAAGGTGGGGACCCCACTCCCCAAGCTCTAGAGGAAAAGATGCTTGTTCTCCCCTATCTTGGGTCCTCTCCTGGGGGTTGAGGCCAGCGACATGAACAACCAAGCAGTTCGAAAGATGACTAGGGGCCTAGAGTATTGACCCCAGGAAAAGACCCTGTCAGAGTCTGGGCTTCTTAGGGAGCTGGCCTGGTGATGCAGGTGCCTCCTGGCATCTGAATCTTGGCTGGAGTTCCATGTTGGATTGGCATGGGCTCCTGTTGGCCAGCCAGAGTGTGAGGGTATGAGAGTGCTGGCCTTTGGTTTCCCAGGGTGGGAGGGGGGCAGATAAGTCCTGAATCATGGGTGGGAGGTACAACTTGAGCTGAGGGATGAGGCTCTGCTCTGCCCAGAGTGAATACAGAGGCTCACACCCTGTCCTGGCCTCCTGACTGTCTTGCTCTGGTCAGAACCAGACATGTAAACATTGGGCCCCCTTCTCAGTCCCCTAACCAGGGCAGCCTCTGTCTGTAGGGTGACCAGGCAGAGGCCTCCTCAGGAGGGTCCTCAGAGAGGTTACCAGGGAATGCCAATGCCAACTGCCCCTGCTCTTGTGTCAAATTCTATCTGGGGCTGAGGGGCCTCCCTTCACCCCTCTGGCCAGTCGGGTGGCTAGAAGCCATGGCCCCCGGCCCCATCTGGCTCTGTAGGAATGAAGCACTGCACTGGCCCAGTCCGTGGCCTGGAAGAGCTTAGAGGACAGCATTCAGCTGTTGCTGCTACCCCCTGCCCCCTGCCAGGAGGGCAGGTTGAGGTTGAAGCCGAAACACTGGAGTTGGTCCTTCCCTTTATGTGCCTCTCTGCCTGGGGGCTGATGGGACAAGCCATGCCCAGCCACAACCCTAGGTTCTCCTCTTCGGGTTGCCCTCTCAGAGGGCAAAGAGCTGGTTACCCCTACATACTTGTGAGGGGCTGCCCTGGGTGGGGTACTGGGAGCAACCAACCATGTAGGGTCATCACAGGCCCTGCCCGCCCCTGAGCATAGTCCAGCCCCTTCCATGGCCTGCTCTCACACCCTAATGGTGCTCCCCCAGATTCAGCCTCCACAATCCTGTCAGGCAAGAAGGGAGGTGGGGAGGACCAGTGGCTCCAGGGACCAGTTACAGCATCCGCACACACGTGCAAGCAAGCATGCCTGGGTGCACACAGAATGCAGACACATGTGCCCCTGAGCACCACTGCATACACTGTGCTGTTGCCATCTCCCTCAGCACAAGAGCACGCACACACACTCACACACACATGTGCTCATACACCCTGCCACGTGCTCTCACCCACACGCACACGGAGTGTGCACAGGACTAAGAAGAGGTGGAGTACTGGCAGCAGTAGTGGGGCTCCAGGGAGTCACCCTTTTCCCTGCATCTAAATCCCCCATTCCAGCTTCTTCTTGGCCCCTAGGCTTCCCACTGATGACTGCCTGGATAGCCATGACCTTGGCAAAGACAGAAAACATGTGTGACATGCTTCAGTTACACCACACAACTCAGAGACCTATTGTTTCAAGGACAGTGGGCAGATGACAGGAAGGACTGAGTGCCAGGCCATTCATTCATTCTGCAGAAATTAACTAAGCAAATTGTGATGAGAAGCCAGCTTTCCCCTGCAGATGCCCAGCATAGCAGGAGATTCTGACCCAGTGGTGGAGTTGGTGCTGTGACTGAGACCCAAAGAGCCCAGAGGCCTGAAGGAGGTAACCCAAAGCCAGAGAAAGATTTGAAGGATCCTTTGACACCTCTTCTGGAGGAAGATATTGAGGGGCCTTGTTCGAGGCAGTTATTCCTCAGGCTAGCCTTCCAGCCCCAACCCCAGCGCCAGCCCTGGCTTCTGCACCTGGGCAGTCCCTCCTGCCATCAGCCATGGGGAACCGTGCAGGGGAATCAAGTCTCTCTTGGGAAGCTAGGGGAACTACTCAACACGGCCAAGGGTTTGGGGATAACTCTGTCCTCCCAGGGCCAGGTCAGAAGATTCACTGGGGCTGGGGGGCGTGGGGTGTGTGAGGCGGGGTGGGGTTGAGTCTAGCTCCAGGCACTGTGAGGCCTAAGTCTAGCCTTCAGGATGATCCTAAAGGCTTGTGAGAGTGGCGGTTCAGGCACTGGGTCTATCTGCCTTCCTACAAGGGACAGAGAAACGGCCAAAGACTTCCTTGAAAGTTTCTTGCTGGCAGTTCTGAGCTTCCTCCAGTCAGGGACCAAGACTGGCAGGGCACCTCGGTGCCAGTGTTCTCCTGTGTCTGTGTGTTCCAGCCCAGGTCTCTTATGGTGACGTTGCTCATGACATGTTTGAGGTTGATTAGACTTGAAAGAAAGCAGAATCCACACCATATTGTAGGTGACTTTTATAGCTTGGGAAGTTCTGTGCCACACAGGAGGGGGCAGATTGGACCAGCCACCCTGGCTGGGACTTGGGAACGGAAAAGACTTTGGCCTTGCAGGATTGGGAAGCAGGATGGGATAGGAGGCTCTGCCACCAGGGTTGGGGTCCTGACTGTGCTGCACACTGAAAACCCACCCACACACCTGCATGTGTTCCTAGTCAGGCAACGCCAGTCAGTGGAGCAGCCTGCCCTAGCGACTGTCCACGTGGTTTTGCCCTTTGTCTGGTTTGGGAGCTGAGCAGCGCCCATTCCCTGGGGACTACTGCCTGCCAAGGGACTTCTGTGCAGCTTCAGTCCTCAGGCTACCTCCCAAATCCAACTCCTGCCTCCTACAATGGGCAGTCCCGGTCAGGGGGCCTAAGGGAGCCTTTGACAGCCTGGCTAGGGCTAGAAAGGCCAGTGGGCACCGGGTTCGCTGCCATCCCGCGTCTGCCGGCCAGCGCATGAGATCTCGGCCTCAGGCTCCTCCTGGGCCCGGGGCGGGGCCGGCTGAAGGAGGCCCCGCCCCCAGCCCGCCCCCGGCCCGGGGTGCGAATCCGATGCCGGCGAGCGGCGGGCGATGCTAGAGGTTTGCGAGCCGAAGCGGCTGCTGCTGGCGCCGCGTCTGCCCCGCTTGCCCGGAGCGGATTCTGCCCGCCGCCCCCGGAGCGCCTGGCGCCCCGCTGAGCCCGCGGTCGCTTCCTCCCCTTGACGGACCGGCGCTGCAGGTGCGGGGCGGGCCGGGCCGGGGGTGGCCTCCAGAACGCACGTTGGGGGGCTCTGGGGGGCTGAGTCCCGCCGGCTCGAGGTTCGGGGCGCAGAGTGCGCGGGGGCGCCGCGAGGACTCGGGGTCCCGGCGGGGGCAGAGCGCGCGGGCTCTGCAGATCCGGGGGCGGCGTGCAGGGTCGATCTCAAGTTCCCTGTCGCCTCGGACCGTTCGGGGGTCCCGGGGGAAGTGGGGCCCGTGCGACTTAAGTCCAGGCAAATACCCCGCGCCCCCCAGTCTGTCTCGCTAGGCTCCAAATTGTCAAACAAAACATTAACCCTCGAAGATGCGTGGTGCCTCTTGGGGGTGGGGGCCGAGGGCAGAGCCGTCCCTCCCCGCTCTCAGAGCTGCCTCCAGCCCCTCCCAACTGCCCCCGGCCCCCTCCCTCCCGCTAAGCAGTCACTAATTTCCATGACAACGGAGAGTTCTTTATTGGCGACAACCCGAAGGGGGCAGGGCGGGGCTGCCGCGGGGTGGGGAAGGAGGCTCCAAGTCCCTGGGGACCGCGGTCCCCCAGCCTAGTTCCAGCTGCCAAGGCTTGAAGTGGAAGCCAGCCGGGGGTCTGGGGCACAGACCCACGTGCGCGGTGGGGGTGGGGGTGGCACATGTTCCCGCTGGGGTGCGGGGCTTGGTGCTCACACGTGTACCTCCCGCATGTGTGTGCTGTGCCCGCGGAGGCGAGCAGCTTTGGGGAAGGGGGTCAAGGTGGCACCACGGTGAGAGGCAGGCCCCCTGCCGGGGGGGCGGGGGGTGGTGAGACAGTGTGAGCTGAGCCAGTAGTGTCTCGCAGAGACCCTGGGCTCTTACGTCCCAGCCCCCCACAGCTCTGCCAAACTGCCTTTGTCCGCACCCCCCCCCCCCCGCGCCACGGGACAGAGCCTGCTCAACTAGGTTCCCTCCTAGGCAGCAGGGCCCTCTGCCCCTCATCAAAAGCTCAGAGCCCATAGCATTCCAGCCCCTGTCCCGACTCCTCTCTCCCAGTCCTAGGCTTTAAGCCCCCCAGGACCACCTGCAGAGAACTAACCCTCCCCCCACCCCACCCCCCCACTTATTCCTGCCAGCTCCATCTGCCTGCTGCACCATTGTTTCCTCAGTTAGGAAATTGGTGTCTCCTTCTCCCTCAGTGCCAGGCTGATGGGGGTGGGGGGGGCAGGGGTCTTTCTCCTTTTCTTTTACAGCATTTGGGATGGGCCTCCAGGTGCCCTAGGCTGGCTGTTCACATGTCTGCCACTGTCCCTCCTCTCAACCCCATGTCCTGGCCACCATTCACAGGCAGGCAGGTAGTCCTCCATTCTGGGAGGAAGCCACCGACTCCTTGATCTCTGTCCAGGGAAGCTGAGGCATAGAGGGAAGGTTGTGCAGTTGTTACCCAGCTGGGTTGCTTGGGGTGCCACTTCTGGCCCTCTCTCAGGATCCACTACTGGGGGATTAGGCTGAGTTGCAGGAGAGGCCCTAGGGACCCAAAGCCTGGAGAGGAGACGATTGGCGGGGGGGGGGGGTGGGGGGGACTGGATACCGGGCAGAGCTGGATCAGCTGAGGAGAGGCCGTAAAAGGAGGCAGCCAGGTCTCCAAGCCTCATTTCCATCCCCTGACCCTTGTGCCTTCAACGTGTTGGACCCGCCTCACCTCTGATGACAGTGAAAGGAACTGAGGACTGCCCTGGCTGAGGGACTGCAACAGTTGACTTCTTCCCCAGGGCCATGTGTCGCATACCGAGCTCAGGGGATATAGGAGGGTTTGGTGCTAAAGATCCAGGCACCAGGGACAGCTTCTGGCACAGGTGTGCAGAGCACACGACCACGGAAGCCTAAGGGCTCTGCTGGGTACTCACAGGCTCCTTCAGAAGCCCCTCCTCACCTCCCTTTCCCTTCTGCCTGTGCTCCTTTTCCTCTGTTACCTCCTTGCTCTCCCTCCATCACAGGTTTTGCTTTTGTCTCATTGTGTCTCTGCCTCTCTCTCTCTTTTCTAAAGTCTCTCAGTACTCCCACCTCCCCTTCCTTGATGGGGACCCCAGTCACAGAACCTCCCCAGTGGGGAAGGAACCAGGCCAAAGTATCAGGAAGTTATTGGAGAGGGGTTCTGACCAACACCTCACTTCTCCTGGTCCCCGAGTTTTAAAACTTCCATCACCATAGCAATCCTTTACCCCAGTGCCTTCCTCTGCATTTCCCCTCTTCCATCCACAGGGAAGCAGGGGTTCAAAGGGTGGGACCCCTGGTACCTGAGAGGGACCAGTTGGCTCTTGATCCCTCCCAGGTCAGCAGGTGGAGGGCTGAACTTTCTAGAGGCAACACTGGACTGAATGCCTACCCTCAAGACTGAAGAGACCCCCCTCCATACCCCCTACTTAGATGGGGGAGAGTAAGCCTCAGGAGCTGTCGTCATCCGTGGTTTAGCTGGAGTCTCAGGCCCCAGGGTACCTCCCTGCCCAATCCCCTGAAGCTGCTGGATGGTGGGCTAGAAGCTTGGCTTTACCTTGTGACACAGACTCTTCAGGTAAGGCCTCCACCTCCCCTGGCCCTACAGGTGAAGGCTCAGCTGTGGGCCAGGCAGGGCTTGGGCCTGGGCATGTCCATTGCAGCAGGAAACTAGCCCCAGCCCCAGACAGAAACAGAAAATGGGGGAGGGTAAGGGGTGCCCGCAGGCTGGTGTTCACAGCTTGCACTAAATCGGGAGGTGTTGCCCACAGTCGTTGGGAGGCAGCTGGAGGCCTCCTGGGTGCCTCTTTGACTCCCTAGATTTACTGCAAGCTCTGGATCCCCACATGGGGCAGGGGACCAGGGCAACGGGAAGCTCCTGTTGATGACTAGGAAAGGTGGGGGCCTGAACTAGGCTGACCCCAGTGGAGGAAGGGGCAGGACCCTGATGTGGGGTATCTGATCCTCTTGAGCTGGCTTCTGTCCCACTTGGGCTTCCCCTGGGCCAGACTCACCTAAGGCTGCAGTAGGGCCCCAAAGGGACCGTTTACTACCAGGGCACAGTAGGCCGAGGCTCCCTTAGAGTTGCCTGAGGCCCAGTTCCCTGAGCCCAGCGGTCAAGCCCAAGGGGCAGGCAGTAACTGAGGGGTGGTCGGCCCTGAGGCTTTCTAAGAGGCAACCAGAGGGCAGTGGCGGGGCCAGGCTCTGCAGTCCCCCGAAGCTGCCTTTGCATACTGTTCAGTTCTTCTGCAGCCAGTGGCGGGTGTCACATCCCCAGGGAAATGGCTGCTATGGTGCTCCTGTGCCCTCCCATGTCCCGATGTGGGACCTGAGGCAGAGCCTAGGTCTTGTGTCACCTTGAGGAGAACTTTCTCTTCTCAGGGGTTGCGTCTGGGCTGTCTGGGCCACAGGGAGTGAGAAATGCAAACGCCATTCTGCCTGGCAGCCCCTCTCAATACAAGCGAGCAGCGAAGTCTTGGTGCATACATCCGAAGCCTACCAGGCAGCAGCAGTGGGGAGCAGATGGTGTAGTGGGTGGGGGTAGAGGGGACCAAGGCGCTAATTGGAAGTAGAACCCCCCCTTTCTCCTCTCTCTTTCCTGTGGCCAGTTCTGGGTGTGCCCAAGCCAAGTGCAGTTGCATTGGTGAGAAGGAGCAATGACTGACTGAGATCAAGGTAGCCATAGTGGGAGGGAACAGATCTGTCCTTGCCCCTGCTCTGCCCCTGCCCCAGCCATGAGGCCTGTAGGACGTGGCTCTGGGCCTATGCAACTGTGAGCTTTCAATGGTGAAGACAGACCACTGGATCCGTGCTGGGCTCTCCTGGGCACCAGTACATACGCATGGCCGCAAAAAGCTGGGCCTAGGATTGGGGACAGCATATACAAAACCTCCCACGCCTTCCCTGCAGGGCAGGGAGCTGTTGGTGTTGGGGGTGGGGTGGAGGTTGAGGAAGGTGTCTGGGAGGAATAACATTTTGAGTCTGGCCTTGGAGCATCAGGACTGTTTTAGACACTGTATTGCACAAACAACCTTATAATGTCAGAAATCACAATGGAAGAAGAGATTTAGCCCTGGTCTCAGCACCTCACTCATGCAGAGGCTTCGCCAAAGGGAAGCTGAGGTGGGCAGCCCACACTTCCTGCCATTGAGTGGACATAGTCAAACTGGCAAATCACCTGTTGTTGGACGTTTAGGTAGTTGATTTTTTTATGTTATAAATAACTCTGCTGTGACATATCATAGGATTCTGATGGGAGGCTTTGGGGGAAGGGCATTCCTGCCAGAGGGAATCATATAAGCAAAGCAATAAATCTGGGACAGGAGACCCTCCCAACTCCTCGTGGGGTACCTGCAGGCTGAGGTACCACCCTCCTGTCCAGCGCGTGGCCCTCAGAACCCAGCCTGGGAAGGGAATTGCTGCCCACCAGAGCCACTGGGAGGACTGATGCTTTCCTATTCCCCAGACTATTATGGCACAGAGAAAGGTGGCTGGCAGTGGTGGGAGGCCATGCCACTACTCTCAGCTGCAAGAGCAGGATTCCAGCCACACTCTCCTCCCTGAAGACATAGGAGCAGCACTGTGGCTGTGGTGGCAAAGACACTCAGTTGGGGATGATTTTCAAAGCTTCTCTTGTTTGCCTCTTTGATGTCTCACAAGATGGCTTAAGCCCTGACTTGAATGACACTGATGAAATGTGTTTGTGTTTCGTGAGCCCAAGCAACCCAGATGAGGGAATGATGGAATTTATTTCCTAATGCTGCAGGCCGATTTGAGGGAGAACTTCCCAGGACTGTGAGCCCTGGGAAGTGGGTGACTGGCCTCTGCTGGGGAGGAAGTGAGCAGCAGCCAGGGCTGGCCGGGGGGCTTATCTGGCCCTGGCCATTCGTCCTAGCTGGCAGAGTCCCTCTGGCCCAAGTCTTCCCCTCTGGGAAGAGAAGGGATGGTGTCCTCCATTCTCTACTACTCTGAGGCTGCCTCCAGGTAGGGGAGCATCTAGTTAGCCAAGGCCCCAGCCCAGGCCCGGTGCACAGCAAGTGCTAATCGATGTGGAGGGAGAACATGCCCGGTCAGCAGAGGCAGAGCAATTTCAGTGCAGCCTCAGTGCAGAGCTTGCTGTGGCCACAGTGTCACACTGACCAGGCACTGAGGAGGCAGGCTCTGAGGTCAAGTCTGCAAAGGTCTAGAGACTATCACCAAGCCACACCCCCTCTCCCCCCACCCCACAAAGCTTACCTCAGAGCAAGGGCTCTGAGTGCCTTTTCCTTTGGGTGCAGGAGTCACTTAACCATTTCAGATATGGCTATAGCTCCTTCATTTCCATTGCTGTATAATATTTTATTGTGTGACTATACCACAATGGAGCCCTGGTGGCACAATGGTTAAGAACGCGGCTGCTAACCAAAAGGTGAGGAGTTCGAATCCACCAGCCATTCCTTGGAAACCCTATGGGGCAGTTCTACCACGTCTTGTAAGGTCGCTATGATTTGGGATTGACTTGTTGGCAAGGGGTTTGGGTTTTTTGGGTTTTTTTAATACCACAATACATTCTTCAGTTCTTGGATATTTGGGCTGTTCACAGTTTGGGGCAATTATTAATATTGCCACTATGAACGTTCTTGTACGAGTGTCCTGATGCACAAATATACACGTTTCTGTAGAGTGTATGTTTAGAAGTACAGTTGCTGGTTCATAGAGTATGTTTGACTTTAGTAGTTTTACCAAACTGTTCCAAAGGAGAGAGCTGCCTTCTACCAGCAGTGTTATGTTCTCTACATCTTCACCCACACTTGATATCCTTAGAATTTTATCTCTGGCAATCTGGTGGGTGGTGGTTACAGTCCCCTTCACCTGTGAAATAGCTGCAATTTAAAGATTTTTTTAAAGAGATCTTTTGATCCTTTTTGAATCTATATAATGCAAAACTATCCTCTGATATATCCGTTGTATACATTTTTCATTGGTGGTGGTGTTAGCTGCCATTGAGCCAGCCCTGACAAATGGAGACCCCATGCACAACGCAACGAAATGCTGCCCGCTCCTGAACTAGCCCCATGATCAGTTGCAGATGGGACCGTTGTGGTCCATAGGGGTTTTCATTGGCTGATTTTTGGAAGTAGATCTCCAGGCCTTTCTTCCTAGTCTGTCTTAATGTGGAAGCTCTAGTGAAACCTATTCAGCATCATAGGTCTCCCACACAGAAGGTGAGAATTCTACCATTGAACCACCACTACCCTTACATTTTTCATAAGTGGAAGCTATTGTAGCCCAGGCATCCCAGCTGAGGGGCCAGGGGTGTGGCTAGAAAAGCAGGGGTAGAATCTCAGCCTGCTTAACTTTTAGTTCCTCCTGGTGAGGTCTCTGCCCTTGGCTTGGCCTGAGCCAGCCTAGGGTCTCCCAGAGGCGGCCACTATGTTGTGAGAAGTGGAATGGTATAGCTGAGCTAGACCTATTCTGTCTGCAGCTCAGGGCCTGGCAATGCCGTTTGGGTGTGTGACTCTGGGCGACAAGAAGAACTATAACCAGCCGTCGGAGGTGACTGACAGATATGATTTGGGACAGGTCATCAAGACGTGAGTGCTGGGCCTGGTGGGCAAGGGTGGGCAGGCTAGGGCTGGGGGAAGGGGAGTGGATTGCAGCCGACAATCAGGCCCAGGCTGAGTAGGGTGCCTTCCGGCTGCAGTGAAGAGTTTTGTGAGATCTTCCGGGCCAAGGACAAGACGACAGGCAAACTGCACACCTGCAAGAAGTTCCAGAAGCGGGATGGCCGTAAGGTGCGGAAGGCAGCCAAGAACGAGATAGGCATCCTCAAGATGTGAGTGTGAAGCTTGGGGACAGTGGGATAACAGGCAGCAGGGAAGGGCTTGGAGGGCAGGTGGCCTCAGGCAGTATCAGCTTCTGGTCAGTTAATCTGCTATGGCCCATAGTGGCAACCAGAGCCTCTCCCAGGGGTTCACCCAGCCCTAACTACTGACTCGCTGCCAGGGTGAAGCATCCCAACATCCTGCAACTGGTGGATGTGTTTGTGACCCGCAAGGAGTATTTCATTTTCTTGGAGCTGTGAGTGCGGGTCTGTGGTCCCCGGATTCCCCAGGGCCTTCACCTGCCCCACCCTCTGTACCCAGGGAAAGCCCTCTTTCTGGACCCCTGGGGTCCCAGATCCCTGTGCCTTGCCCAGCCAGCTGCCTGGCGCAGGCAGCCCTCCCAAGCATTCTCCCCAACCTCCATCCTGCCCACTCCGGGCTCAAGGGCTGGTGTCCCTCAGGGCCACGGGGAGGGAGGTGTTTGACTGGATCCTGGACCAGGGCTACTACTCGGAGCGAGACACAAGCAACGTGGTGCGGCAGGTCCTGGAGGCCGTGGCCTACCTGCACTCACTCAAGATCGTACACAGGAACCTCAAGGTGAGGTCATGGTCTAGGGTCAATGGACTGCCAGGCTGGGGGCTGGGCAATACCTTGGGGCCTTGATTTGGCCTCTGAGGCCCTCACGGTGTCTTCCTTTGCCCACCCTCATACCATCCCCGGCTGGAGTAGCTGGAGAACCTGGTTTACTATAACCGGCTGAAGAACTCGAAGATTGTCATCAGCGACTTCCATCTGGCCAAGCTGGAGAATGGCCTCATCAAGGACCCCTGTGGGACCCCTGAGTACCTGGGCAAGCAGAGGGGGAACGGGGACAGGGCAGGGTTGGGGGTAGCCTTCAAGCAGCTGCTCTGGGTAAGGTAGAATGAAGTCCCCATTGCAGGAAGTGGGTGTGTATGGTACCAGGCAGGTATTGGCCTAGCCAGGTGCAATACTGACCAGCAGATGGAAATTCTTTCCAGCCCCTGAGGTGGTAGGCCGGCAGCGGTATGGAAGGCCTGTGGACTGCTGGGCCATCGGAGTCATCATGTACATCCTGTGAGTGGACGGGCAGGCGAGTAGGCTCAGCCAGGCAGGATGGGAGCCTGTGTCTGTGGCCTTCCTGGGTGACCCTGCCCTTTGATCTCCACGCAGGCTTTCAGGGAACCCGCCCTTCTATGAGGAGGTGGAGGAGGATGACTATGAGAACCATGATAAGAATCTCTTCCGCAAGATTCTGGCCGGTGACTATGAATTCGACTCTCCGTACTGGGATGACATTTCGCAGGCGGGTAAGGAGGTGCCTGGCATGCAGGTAGAATGCAGTGTGTGTGGCAGGGGCTGCTCACAGCCTCCTCTGCTGGACTCCACTCCTGCCTTGCAGCCCATTCATCCAATTCTAGACAGTTAGATGCGGGTGCCCATGCATAGCCCCTCCCTGGCTTTGTCCCCAGCCAAAGACCTGGTCACCCGGCTGATGGAGGTGGAGCAAGACCAGCGGATTACTGCGGAGGAGGCCATCTCCCATGAATGGTGAGCAGGGCCCAGAGGTGGGCGAGAGGAGGGAGATGATTAACACCAGGGTTCCCTCAGCCTCTGGCCTCCTCACGCCTAGCAGCCTCCGTCCATGAGGCCTTGAGTGGGTGGGGGGCACTCAGAGCTCAGGTCAGCCTGAAGGCTCTGTCTGGTAGTCCCTGGATCCCACAGGGAAGTGTTGGACAGGCTCCATGGAGGCCCATACTCCCTCAGAACCAGATGCACTCAAGTCTTTTCTAGGATTTCTGGCAATGCTGCTTCTGATAAGAACATTAAAGATGGTGTCTGTGCCCAGATTGAAAAGAATTTTGCCAGGGCCAAGTGGAAGGTAAGGCTTGGATGGCTTTCTTTCCTGGTCTGACCCCAAGTGCTCCTCTGAGCACCCATTGTTTCTTGCTTGCACCACACAAACTTTTCTTCAGCTATCAGGAGTGGCTATAGCCAGTCACTGCCTTAAAGCAGGCATGCTAAGCAGCTGGGTCCCTGGCCCTAGGGCAGTTGGAGGCAGCTGGGGACACCACAGAAGGGGCTGGGTTTGGCTACTGCCAGGGAATGAGTCCAGCTTCTGAAAGCCTCACCGTGAGCCTCTCTTCACTGTCCTCCTTCAGAAGGCTGTCCGAGTGACCACCCTCATGAAACGGCTCCGGGCGCCGGAGCAGTCCAGCACTGCAGCCCAGTCTGCCTCAGCCACAGATACTGCCACCCCTGGGGCTGCAGGCGGGACGGCAGGTGCAGCTGCAAGTGGGGCTGCCCCAGCTCCAACAGCAGAGGGCGAGGCTGCTCTTGCTACAAAGAGTGAGAATGTGGCCTCCGCAGACCGTAGTGCCACCCCAGCCACGGATGGCAGTGCTACCCCAGCCACTGATGGGAGTGTTACCCCAGCCACAGATGGGAGCATCACCCCAGCCACTGATGGGAGTGTCACCCCAGCCACCGACAGGAGTGCCACTCCAGCCACTGATGGCAGAGCCACACCAGCCATGGAAGAGGGCTCCATGCCTACCACCCAAAGCAGTGCCACACTGGCCCCCAAATCAGCTGCCACCCCTGAGCCGGCTCTGGCCCAGCCGGACAGCACAGCCCCAGAGGGCGCGACAGTCCAGGCTCTACCCTCTAGTAAAGGGGAAGAGGCTGCTGGCTGTGCCCAGGAGTCTCAAAGGGTGGAGACCAGCTGAGTGGGCAGGCTGGTGGTTGGAGGGGTGGGGAATGGCAGGAGGGTGGGAGAGTGGATGGGGGCTTCTCACTGTACATAGTCACAGCATGATGCCCTCCTTCCTTGCCCTGCCTCTCTGCCCCCCAGCATGGGGCATATCTGGTGGTCACGGGAAAGCAGTCTTGTCTCCCATATGTGTGTGAGTGGTGGGCAGGCCAGAAGCAGGGCCGGCCCCAGCCCCTGCATGGATTCCTTGTGGCTTTTCAGTCTTTTGCTAGCTTCACCAGTTTCTGTTCCTTGTGGGATGCTGCTCTAGGGATACTCAGGGGCTTCCTGCTCCATTTCCCCATCCCTTCTTGCCTCATGATTCCCCCAGTCAGGCCCTGCAGGTCCCCTCCTCTCCTAGGTGCCAAACTCAGGTGGCCTTGCCCAGAGAGTCAGCAGTCTTAGGCTCCTGCACATGAAGCTGTGTGCCCACAGTGTGTGGGCTGCTCCAAGAAAGGACACAAGCTGAGACAGAGAATGCAGAAATGTAGGGCTGGGTGCTTTGGGACAAGACTGGTTGCAAGGGCCCACAGAGAAGTGGAAGGGCCCTCAGACGTGGAAGAGAGTGGGTAGGACGGTAGAAGCTTCCATCTTTGGCCCTTGAAAGTCCATCCCAAGATCCCTGTGTCATTTCCTGTCTCCTGGGTCCTGCACTGGGTTGCCCTGGACCCCAAGCCTAATAAGCCTATAAGGGGAGGGAGCAGTAAGGATGTGGTAATGAGACAGTCAGGGAGGGCAGAGTGCAGGCCCAGCACCCACTGCCCAGCCCAGCTGGGTCCATACCCTGGGCCAAATGGAGGGCTGATATGCCCTTGCTCTTCCTAAATGCCTTCCTTCTCAGGCTCAGCCCTTAAGTCCTCTCTATCTCAGCATGCCTGCCTCATGGCAGTGCCCCATAGTCTATGATTTGGGGGTTTGCCCTTTACACGGGCATATTATCTGCCCTCCCAATTCAACAACAAAATGGAGTGGAACCCCTTCTTTCTACAGCCCACTTCCCCTTCTGAGCCATGCTGAGTTGCTTTTGCTGGGATGAGGAAGTGGAACAAGGCCCCCCAGTTCCCTGATGGATGCTCCTGGCAGGTACCCTTGTCAGACCCCACTACAGTCTGGGCAGGCAGCCATACCAATCCCGGACCCCACTCAGCTCTCTGTGGTGGTCCTGCCCTTCTCCCTGCATGCCTGTGGGTCTGCTCTGGTGTGTGTGTGAAGGTTGGTGGGCTGAGTGCCTACTGAACCTGGCAAATAAACGTTACCCTGCCAAAGCCTCTGGCCACCCTCTTGCCTTTGCTTCCTCTGTCCTACTGGGGAGGGGCCCTTGGAAAGTAGTGGAGAGGGGGCATCTGGGAACAGGTTCGGTAGTGGCCTGTACTCAGTGCCATGTGAACTGCCTGGGCTGAAAGTGAATATCATCCCCCTACAGCATGTTTCTCTCCAGCCCCTTGGTGTGTGTGTAGGGGGTGGAAGTGTCCTCTGGACTCTAGAGATCCATGTGGGTGGCTGGTCCTGGACTGGGCTTGGGCCAAGGAATACCCTGGGCTGAGAGCTTGAGTCGGGGCTACTGTTCTGATGATTCCCATTGACTTGTGTCTTGATTTGAGCATAGAGCTGGAACTCACCTAGGGCCAGCTAACAGGGAGAGACCTTGCCCATGGCCAATGTGGGCTTCTCTGGGCTGGGGAGAGAGCGCAGGTGGGCATCACACAAAGGTTCTCTGTTGCCCTGTGTGTTGATTCCTCCTTTCTGTGAACCACACCTGTGCTTTTCACATGGGCCCAAAAGACTTTCATCTGGGGCTACTTCAGCTGGAGCAGATCAGCTTTAAATTATGAGACTCTGTATAAGGTTTCTCCTGGGGAAGGGCAAAGTAACACTGCTAAAGATAGTGTGAAAATCCCTGGGCCACATCAAGACTTGGCCCAGGTGAACTTATCAGGGATGGTACTCTGTCTCAGGGAGGACCTCAAAAATAACTTCTCAGATGTGGGAATGAGAAAAAGGGGTTTGTTAGTCCCTGGTGTTAGTCACTTGTCCATGAACATCAGGACCTCAAAAATTCCAATCTTCTGCAGTCCCAGAGGCATAAATGATCTTTCTTAGCTCCTGGGAGCTAAGAGCTAAAGTCAGGGTACTGGCCCTAAGCCCTACGTCTCCAAACTCAGGGATGTCATGCCTTGCTTGGATAAAGCTGGGGTGTCCTGAGGGATTAGGGCTTATGTGTCATCTTTCCAGGACCACCCAGAGCCTGAGGGCTGAGAGTGTGGAACATCTTTTGGTCTGTAGAAACCATAGACTGCCAGCGGATGGTCCAATACTGCCCAGAACCCAGGGAGCTCGCTCCCCATTGGGATTATCGTCCCATCTTCCTGATCCTCCCGAATGGTAGAGAAGGCTGTCCAGGTAGAACAGGGCTGAGGGGCCCGTGCCTGGCCCACCTCATATCAAGTCTGGCTTGGGATCAGAACGCCCTGCCTGGAAAAGGGCCCCGCTGGTGGCGCGGCTGCTCCCCGTCCTGATGCTCTGAGGATGTCGGCTGAGTCCTGGGAGTCGCCGGAGGGCTGCCGGAAGCCCTGGAACCCTGGGACCGCACCTCGCCCGCGCGGGGCACTAGTATTCTGTAAGGTGAGAGAGCAGCCAAGCCCCGCCCATGATGACTCGCCCAATCCAGGCCTAATCTTCAGGCTCCGCCTCCGGGTTTGGTGTCGGCATTTCCGGTTTGCTCCCGGAAGCCGCGAAGTGGAGCCAAGTTTGAAACGAGCCGGGGTTTGGGGGCGCAGCGGTGAAGCTCGACCTGCTGCGGTTTCCTTGGCTACCCCGGCCACTTGAGTCCTGTCGCCATGCCTATCCGTGCGCTGTGCACCATCTGCTCCGACTTTTTCGACCACTCTCGCGACGTGGCCGCCATTCACTGTGGCCATACCTTCCACCTGCAGTGGTGAGTGAACGCGGGTTTGCGGGCCCGGCGCTCACCCGGGTGCGACCGCCGGGTTGTGGGGCCTCAGGCCTCCCAGCGACCCGTGCCTGGAGTCCAGATGGGTGATGAGGACGGCACTAGACGGAGCCGCACAGGACGTTCCCGACCTGGACAGAGGGATTAGGGCAGGCTTCTGGGAGAGGGTGACAGTTGACCCGAGTCTGGGGAGGGGACTTCCGTGATCATCTGTGCAAAAAGTCTGTCTTCATGGTCCCCGGACTCTGTTAGCCCTGATATGAAACCATTCCCGAAGCCAACTCTTCAGACATAGATTAGACAGGACTATAAGACATAAAATGATACTCGTGAAGAAAGTGCTTCTTAGCTCAAGTAGTTACATGTGACTAAATGGGCAGCTCCTGTCCGGAGGCGAGATGAGAAGGCAAAAAGAGACAGGAGCTGGCTGAATGGACACGGGAAATCCAGGGTGGAAAGGAGGAGTGTGCTGTCCTAGGGAGAGCAGCTAGGGTCACAAAGCAATGTGTATAAATTTTTGTGTGAGAAACTGACTTGAACTGTAAACTTTTCACTTAAAGCACAATTTAAAGAAAAAAAAAAAACCTCAAAAAAATTAAAACAGTAAAGAAGTCTGTCTTCAAGGCTATTAGCCCAGGCAGACATGAGCTTTCACCACACTAACGAGCTCTTTTTATTTCTTAGTAGAAACCGGGTAGGCCCCTGCCTTCATGAGATAATTTGTTGTGGTTTACTTGATGGTTTGGAATGATTCTATCCAGAGTCATCTCATTGGTCAGACATCCCAGTGTATTCAGTGCTGTCAGCAAACCCATATTAACATCAAAGGGCAAGGGGGTGCTCCTCATAAAGGGGTCTTGCTGACCTGTGGGACCATTCTGCTGAGTGTACAGCTGGTGTGGAAAGGTTACCCTGGAAGCTGTAGACAGGCTGGTTTGGAGCCACCAGCAAAGGAGTTAGGCAGAGTGATCCCTGGGTGCTTTTGGAGCAAAAGGCCCCAGGAAGCAGGGAGCCAGGCTGCTGGCAGATCTCAAAGGGCGTTTTTCCCTCAGAGTGCCCCTTACTGGTTAGACTGTGTTCAGAGCCCTGTTGCTGACAGCCTGAGCACCATGCTGAGGAGGTACTGCTGTGCTGTCAGACTGGAAATCAAGCCTCTAAGAGCTATTCTGTATTTACTCTCTGGGTGCTCTTCTTCCATCCTTTGATTTTCAGTTTTCCTGTGTACTTATGTTTTACATGTATCTCTTGAAAACGACATTTAGTTGTTTTTTTTTTTTTAATCTAGTCTGACAATCTTTGTATTTAACTGGACCGTTTTGTCTACTTAAAATTATTGCAATTACTGGTGTATTGGGGTTTAAATCTATCGTCTTATCTAGTATTTTCTATTGTGATCTGCTTACTTTTTTTCCTGCCTATTATTTCTTATTCTCTTCTTCCTTGCCTTGGTTAGGATTGGTTGAATATTCTGTATCTCTCCATTTTCCCCCTTGATTGATTTGGAAGTTACGTATTCTATTTTCATTCTTTTAATGGTTATCCTAGAAATTAAAATGTGTCCTTTTTTCTTATAATTTATGTAATTTTTTTCTGTTGTTGAGAATATGCATAGCAGAACATACACCAATTCAACAGTTTCTGCATGACAATTCAGTGACATTGATTGCATTCTTCGAGTTGTTCAACTCTTCTCCTTATGCTTTTGAGTTGTTCCTCCCCCATTAACATAAATTCACTGCCCCTAAGTTTCCTATCTAATTTTTTGAGTTGATATTGTCAGTTTGATCCCGTATAGATAGATTGTAAAAGAGTACAATGCTAAAGGCAGACATTCTTTACTAGTTAAGCTAAACTATTGTTTGGTTTTTACGAAGACTTCATGGGATATTTTTTGTTTCAGGTTTAAAGATTATCTCAGGGCAATAGTTTCAGGAATTCATCCAGCCTCTGTAGCTCCAGGAGTCTGGAGACCATGAGGATTTGAAATTCTGTTCTGCGTTTTCCCCCTTTTGATCAGGATTCTCCTATAGAATCTTTGCTCAAAATGTTCAGTAATGGTAGCTGGGCACCATCCAGTTCTGGTCTCATGGCAAAGGAGGCAATTATTTATGGAGTCAACTAGCCACACATTCCATTTCCTCCTCCTATTCCTGACTCTTCTTGTTTCTCTGTTGCTAAAATGTGTGTCCTGAACCTATCAGATTCAAACATTAATACCTTTTTCATTCTTTCAGGCATCTTTCAGGTTGGGGGGAGCATTATTCTGCCTACTACACCTTTTTCTGAAACTCCCAATTATATGTACATTAGATAGACCTTCTCACAGTATTTCTATGTTTCTTATCATCTCATCTATATTTTCCATCTTTTTAATCCTTAGTATTTCCTCTAACCTAGCTTTCACTTTAGTAATTCTTCACCTGTGTCTAAACTGCTGTTAAACTCATCTATTGAATTCTTAATTTTGGCCATTTTTCAGTTTTAGAATTCCTGTTTGGTTCTTTTTCAAATCTGCTATGTGGTTACTTTTTCGTTTCTGATTCTGTACTCATATGTTCAAGCTTAATTTGTATTTCTAGCATAACTGTGTTATGGTCTGTGTTTGACAATTCCAATATATGAAGTCTTTGTGGGTATGCTCTTCTGGTTCTCTCTCGCAGTGTTTTTTTCTTTGTATGCCTGTTTACTTAAAAAACAAAAGAAAACATTTTATCACAGTATACTGTAGTTACAGAAAAGTACACATAATGAGTGTATGGCTTGCAAAATTTTCACAAACAGCACACCTGTGCAACCAGAATTCACATCAAGCAGCAGGACATTATCAGCACCCCAGGAGCCTCCTCATGCTGTCTTCCGTTACCCACCACCCCACACACACATGTAAGGATAACCGCTGCCCCTACTTCCAGCAGCAGAGAGTTTTGCCTATTTTTTTACTTTATGTAAATGGCGTCATGCAGAATGTACTTTTTTGTGTCTGATTTATTTTTCTCAATGCTTATGTGATTCATTCATAGTATTGTTCTTAGTTGTAGACTCATTCATTCTCATCGTTGTGTAGGATTGCATGGTGTTTGGTTTGCTTTGATTATATGTTGTACAGGGTATTTGAAAAATAATTTATAGGAAAAATTTGAGGCCTGGTATGATAGTATCTTCCAGAGGGGATGTTTTTTCTCCCTGGTCTCAGTCTACTGGTAGGAGACTACCTTAATTCATGTTTAAGGCTTGAGGTTTCTGGACACCTGGATAGATGATGCAAAGCTGGGCTGTGTTTTGGTTTTACTGCTATTTATTTTATTTCTATTTACTCTT